CCGTGCTGAGTCTTTCGAAATTCCTTTGCACAGCCTTTTTGAAGCGAAAGGTATTGCTGGAAACATTGTTCATGCCGTTGCTACTACCAATGCCATTATTGCTGGGTTGATTGTTATTGAAGCAATCAAAGTGCTGAAAAAGGACGAGGACAAGTACAGGTTTGTACTTTGAATTGTATTGCATAAGATTTTACCATCCTTAATACCTATTTAAAATAATTTTTGTTCTCAATGTCTCTCTAGAATGACATATTGCTTAGAACACCCAAGCAGAAAGATGCTGCTTATGCCAATTGAGCCATATGAACCTAATCCTGCTTGCTATGTCTGTTCCGAGGTATAAACATTATTGTTGTGTGGCCTTCTTTCCTAATCGTTCTTGTATTACCAGTCATTTGATGTTCTTTTTTTATTCAACAGACCCCTTTAGGACTTGAGATCAATACTCGGAAATCAAAACTAAGGGATCTAGTTGATAGAATTGTCAAAGCGAAGCTTGGAATGAACCTACCATTGATTATGCATGGGGCATCGCTTCTTTATGAAGTTGGTGATGATCTTGATGATATTATGGTTGCAAACTACAACGCTAATCTTGAGAAGGTTTGATCTTGATTGTTCTACCATTTGCACTTTAAGTACATGTTTAAATACAGTAATTTCTCACATGCTCTTGTTTCTTTATCAGGTTTTATCGGAACTTCCTTCTCCCATTGTCAACGGAAGCATTCTCACAGTCGAAGATCTTCAACAAGAGCTATCTTGCAAGATAAATGTCAAGCACAGGTTTTGTTTCTTACATTTTGGATCTGTTTCAAATACAGTTTGGTTTTTGATAATTTTACCATCGACTTTCCCTTAACCTTTTTCCATTTCATCAAATTACAAAAGCTTTCTTCTATCATCAGACATCATCCTAGGATTCTCGTATAGCCTGGAAACGTTAGATAGTTACTTCCATTGTGGAAAGTGGCAGATGATTTATCCATCCTTAGCTTTTTTTTTGGGCAAAATCCATCCTTAGCTTATTCTGTTTCTTTCACAGGGAAGAATTTGACGAGGAAAAAGAACCTGAAGGAATGGTACTCTCTGGATGGACACCATCTCCAGCTACCAATGGTGAGAGTGCATCAACATCAAACAATGAGATTCCTGTTGATGTCACAGAGAGTTCCTCAGGATCCGAGACTGCTTCTAAGAAGAGAAGACTCTCCGAGATCGAGCCCTGTAATCACAAGAAAGAAACAGAGAACGTTGAGAGTGAAGATGATGATATCATGGAGATTGAAAATCCCATGATAGTGAGCAAGAAGATAAGAGTTGAATAGCCCTTTTTTCTTAAGCGCTGATCCCTAAATCCTTGCTTTTAAAAATTTCTTTTTGGTTTCGATCTAACTTCCAACTTTCTTAATTTATGTCACAAGAATATTACAAGTATGATTTAGGGATTCTTTGATGAAGAAGAAACTACTCAGATTGTTAAATATTTACTAGGGCAGGACAGTATCCTTTGGAGGAGGAGCTCAAAACGAAGCAATCTTTGCTTTCAGAGATTCTGTAATGTTTTCACTAACTGTAAGAGCTCCCTTGTATCTTAACTCTGTTTACCAAATTTTCTGGTTTTTTTTTTTTTTGTTTTGAAGAAATCTCAAACTACTTTCAATTCATATATATTTCTATCTTCCTCTTACAATAAGCTCTAAGAATAAGAATTTGCATACAGTTTTATAGAAGTTTGTGTATTGTAACCTAAGTATCAACAACCTAATAACATGGGAGGATGAGTGGATACATGCATTATCCACCATCGTAAATTACATAACAATAAAAATACCACACAAATTACACAACAAATCCAATTATCTTGAGAAGACCAATTTCTTCTCTTTGTCTAACTTTTCACACCGTTTGGTGTCTGTTTATCTTCCGTTGAGGCTAGCAAACTGTGTAAACATGGCGGTTCCAGAGTGTTGGTCCACTGTTGTGTCATCCTTCTCTTCAGTCTGTGAAACCGGACGTTCACTTGCTGTTGCTGCAGCGGTTGTGGCAGCCGGTGAAGGCGGGGCAGCAGCAGCCACGGGCTTAGCGGTCTCAACTTCCTCCGCCTCAGCTTTTCCCTGAGAAAAAGCCTCTTGAAGCTGAAGCGCATACTCTAAGTTCCACAACACATCTCCCATTGTTGGTCTATCAACACCATAATCTGCTAAACACTTCTCTGCAGCTTCAGCAAACTTTTTCATAGATTCAGGATTCACAGTTCCAACGAGATGAGGGTCTATGATCTTTTCGAGCAACCCTTTCTGTTTCCATTGCATAGCCCATTCAGCTAAGTTGACCTGTTCCCTTGGAAGCTGAGGATTAATGGCTGGTCTTGCACATAGAGCTTCTAGAAGAACAACACCAAAGGAATAAACATCGGACTTGTCTGTGAGCTGTTGTCTCCTGAAGTATTCCGGGTCTAAATACCCAAAACTACCTTTCACGGCCGTACTGACATGGTTTTGTCCAAAGGCAACGTCTTTGGAGAGACCAAAGTCACCTACTTTAGCAACTAAAGCTTCATCAAGAAGAATGTTTGTGGATTTGACGTCACGATGGATAATGCCTTGAGCTGTTCCTGTGTGCAAATAGTGAAGCCCTCGAGCAGCTCCTATGCAGATCTCTAGTCGTTGTTTCCATGTCAAAGGAGAAAGGTTTTTTCCATAGAGATGATCTCTGAAAGGACCATTGGACATGTATTCGTAGACGAGGATCATCTCTGAGTTCTCGTCACAGTATCCAATCAAGGAGACTAAGTGTCTATGTCTGAGCTTAGACAGCATCTGAATCTCTGTGTGAAACTCTGTGATACCTTGCTCTGACTGCGGATTTCCTCGTTTGATGGCGACTTGAGTTCCATCATCAATGGTACCGATGTAAACGTTTCCAAATCCACCAACACCGATGATCTCTGATGCACCAAAGTTCTTTGTGACTTCTTGAAGCTCTGAAAGAGAGAAATTGCTTCCAAGGCCAAGCGCGGAATTGTACAAGTTGGATTTATGAGAACCGGTTTTGCTTGACATGAAGGTACTGTCACCGGCGTGTATTGGTAGTAACCAAGAAGAGAAACTGTTTCTCTTCTGCCAATCTTGTGGCCTCTTCTTCCACTTGTAAACCATTGCTCCAAGACCGACGAAAGCTCCAAACATCATCACAAACCCCGCAGTTGCAACCATCCCATGCTTCCCCATATTAGCTTTCTTACCATCAACTCCAAATTCTCCATCAAGACTGTTCACGGAGTTGCTCATCTTCAGGACCTCGACTCCATTCAAGATTGCGTTCTTTTTCCCGGTGTCTTCCCCCATGGGACCAATCTGAACCTGGAGCTCAGATTTCATAAGAGTCGAGTTCACCACAATGTCTTTGTAGTAAGGAGCAGAGAGATCGCCAGCTACAGTGGACAAATCAAGACCCGAAATGGCGGTCTTGCCATTGATGTAAACGTTGAAGTAGAGGTCATTAAGTGACTTGCTGATGATGTCACAGAAATGAAGACGAATGAAGTAGTGAAAAGATGGGTTTGATGGGAAGTTCCATGTGACATTGAAATTAGGATCCATGGTTTGAGAATCAGCCATCTCTGCAGCTGTTGCGTAAACCGTCTGTGGCGCAATCAGCGGTGTAACTTCAGGAGGATACTTGATCGCTGTAGGTGTTGTTTTGACATCATTAGCTAGATTCGGATCTTTCAAGTACTCTTTGTCAGGTGTCCAGGTTCTTGCTAGTGTGTCATTCTGAGGTGTAATCAAAGGACCACCAACATTAACTCTGTAAACAGACTGGTATGCGTATTCAGACAGACCAGAAAAACCTTTGACAGGGAAAAGAGAAGTGCCTGAATCAGAGATAAGTTCGTCCGGAGCTGACACAAGTTCGATACCGTTGATGAAAGCGGCAGAACCTTTCATAGGTTTGAACCTAAGGGCGAACTGAGCATCCGTCATGTTGACGAGGTACTCCTTCTGAACAATGGCTTGGCTATCTTTGTTGTTGCTAAGTTTAAAGTTGTGAAGCAAGACGTACTTCTCTGACAAAACAGAGAAAGTTGCTTGCTGGAGATCAAACTTGTCATTGGGAAAGGCAAAGAAATGGAGACGAACCCAATGCCAACCAGGTCTGGTCAAATGGAACTTGTAAATGGCTTCTTCACGGAAGATCCTCGCGGTTAGGTAGATAGGAGAAGTGAGTTTATCTGAAGGCGGGGCAGAGACTTGAATGTCATCTTTGGCTTCTATATACTGAACCGTCTCTGAGTCACTCTTAAAGACTCTACCTTCAGGGGTTTTGGTTGAAGACTTGCTCCCACAATCAATGAGAATGTCATCAGCCGGTTTAAAACCAGCACCGATGGCAAGCGCTGAAGCTAGGCCGGTTAAGAAGAGGAGGATGGTGAACAGGAGAGTCATGAAGGGCCTGGAAGAAGAATCTAAGACAAGACACTTTGGTATATTTGGTTTCTTTGTTTTGATCTCCATCCCTCCATCATGAGGGGGAGAGAGAAGAGAAGAGAGAAGAATGAGGACTAAAATGAAAAGACGAAACGAAACGAGATTGTTGGGATGCTTGTCGTTGAAGAAAGAGCGAGAGAGAAAAAAGTATGTGTTGTTGTTGTATGTGTGGCTAGTTTTCTTAATAGTGTTTTGGTTATAATTAGTGAATGTTTTATTATTAGTAAAACTGTTAGATTGGCTTTATGACGATTGATCTTGGCATATATAGCCATACAAAATAAGTATTTAATTTAATAGAGGATTGCCAAGTCCATGTAGATGTTATCTTAATGTATCATCTTTTGATCATGGCCATCAGCAAACTCAAGCCAAGATATGATCATAAATAATATGGGATTGCACATGTATAATGAAATATACTCGTGTTGCAGAAATTAAATGATAAATAATTTATGTGTTTGCTACCTACATAGTTATTTTTTAATAGAAATTCTTGAACATATATATTCGACTGTCGTCAATTGGGAAAAATGCTAGCAAAATACACTTCATTTTTATAAAAATAAAACAGAAAACATAACCATACGATTGTCACATTCACAAACTGCGAAGACATTTAAAACTAAAATTCAGTAAACTTCATTAGACAGACATATATATATATATATATATATATGACCGACCATAAGCCCTTTTATTTATGAAATGATGACAAAAGGTCGTGTTCATGGGTGGTTGTGGTTGTGGTGGCCGGGAAGTTTGTCCTTGATCTTCTCAAGAATGCCCTTCTTCTCGTGGTGTTGGTCGGCAGAGGTGGTAGTAGGTCCTGTGGTCGTTGCGGTGGCCGGTGTTTGCTCGTCCTTATGCTTACCGCTACTAAATTTCTCTTTAATCTTCTCCTTTATGCTCTTCTTCCTCCTCCCTCCTTGCCCGTCGTCCTCCTATTCCACCATCAGATATACTCGTTAACGATTTACTTACGTATCGATCCAAAAACATGAATGAAACGTCTTCTAGAAAAGCCTTTTACTCATAGTGTTTTAAAATAATTTGTTGACCTTTTCGGAAAGCAAAACTAAAAACCTCATGCATGTTTTTTGAGAGTATGTAAACAGTTAATCTTATATATGCATGAGATTCTCACCGAGCTAGAGCTAGATGAACTTCCAGACCGACGAAGATGCTCTTCAAGCGAGCCATGGTGTTGCTGCCCTGTGTTGGTTGCCCCTGTACCTGCGGCTACTCCTGTGGCAGTGGCAGCGGCAGCGGCTGTAGGAGCAACTGCAGAATGTGTTCCTGTAGCGACCGGGTGTGATTCAGTAGCGACCGGGTGTGTTCCAGTAACAGTGCTAGCAGGGTGCTCCTCAATGTCGCCGATGGTACTCTTCCTACAGACTTGAGCGGAGGTGGCAACACCGGTTAGGTGCATAGGGTTACCGAACTCATCAGTGAGCTGGACAGGGTTACCATGGTCGTCGGTAAGATGGATTGGGTTCCCTCTTTCGTCCTTTATATCAGCCATCGTCAACAAGTTCCTTGTTTGAAGTGATTGTGTACCGTAAGATTCTCAAAGTGCTGCTTAGAAAACACTACTACCTTTGCGTTAGAACAAGTGCGTATGCATTATATAAAAAATGTTAAGACTGCATGATTATGAGACGTGGCGTATTTAATGTGAAACGTTTTGCCACGCACGGACAGAGAAGGAGTAGCACGTGTCATGTGTGCACTTCGATATCAATACGTCACGAATCCGACATAATAATAACGTTTTCTCTTTTTGATAAATTCCATAGAGACTAGAGACTGAGCAACAACGTTATCTTCTACCTACGGTACGTGTTTTCTACGTTGGACAGATGTATTTGGATTTGGTCACGGGCTTTGAACTGCTAAACAAGGTCGGTGTACGAGCTAGCTTATTGGCCATACTTAAAAGACAGTAACTAATCGCCTTACCAAATACCAAATAAAGAATAGCATTGTTTTTAAATTGTTGTATAATACAATACAATATGAATCCCTTTGAACCAATGAACCCAGAGTCAGATAACTTTTTACCTTATCCTATGATAGTTATTATAATTACAAGTGTAAGACTTTGGGAATGTTACCAGAAACAAAAGGGAGAAGAAACATTTTGTTGAGACTTGGGAGAGGAATTCTATAAAATGTACACATACAAGTGTGTATATTTTGATAAAGTATCCGTAACGTCGACGGCCCTAGCTTACGAAGAGAAACACCACACCAAGAATCTGCAACAAGATTCAACAATCATCAAGGTTTAACTTGTGTCACTCCTTGGTTTGAGCCATGAGCTTCAAATTCATAAGTGATGCTTACAGTTTATTCAATGTTTGCTAGATTTGGTCCAGAAAAAGCCTTTCTTTAGCAGCGATTGATTCTCTTTTGGGGATTTAACACTGTTACTTCTGGACCCGAAAGAAAAGTGTCTTGCAAGGAAAGGCTTTGGGGAATAGTTTCTTAAGCTTGAACTCGATACTAGCTTCGGGGATTTACCTTTGTATCCTGCCACCACCGCCTTGTGGTTGTGATCAAACATGACAAAGTCATCGCTGTCCACAACGCGGTTTCTTAGTCTCTTGTTTTGTCTAGCTTTCATATCCAAATCTGCCTTTAATGCTTTCTCCGACAATTTGAATGTTTTCTTCTCCCCCAGTGTGCAGATGGGGCAAGGAGGGTCGAATTTGTCGATTTCAGGTGTCATCTGCTCTAAACAATCTGAATGATATACGTGCCCACAAGCTAGAATTGCAGCTACAGAGAGCTCGTTAGTTGCAAACATCTTCTGGCTAGTCAACAAAGATTTCTCAGATAAGGATCTCGAGCAAGCACCACAGTTTTGCTGATCATTGGACTTTCTGTTTCGTAGATGGTCTATCTTGTCACGACGAAGCCCAAAGCTCTCGTTCTCGTAAGAGCAAGACTCTCTGCGAGAATACGCCATCATTTCGGAAAAGGCCTGCATGGACCAACCATCAGATTGAGATTCATTCCCCAGCCTCTCTTCAGTTGCTGAGCTTCTACTCGGTGAGGTAAATTCAAAGATTTGACTATCTGAGATTTGTTTTGATAAATGAGGGCGTGGTGTCAGCTTTAATGTCGATGAACTAGCAGGTGGCATTGGCAGGTGGCTCTGGGATGACAGTGGTGACGCTGAAAGGGATGATGGTTGAGAAGCTAATGAAACAGACAGTTTTGCAGGAGATGGATAATAAGCAGGGTTGGTCGAATCATTTGTTTTCTGGGTGATCTACAACAGTAAAACAGGGGTGTCATATTCACAGAGTTACGTGGCAGATATTTAGCTAGCAGTGAAACAAAGGTTTTTAGTTTATACCTGTTCAGAGACGGTGTCAATGGATGCAATTCCTGAAAAAGATTGATCTGTCACAACAATAACGTCAATTAAACATGGAAAAGTCATAGTTTAACGATAGACATGGATGGAACCAATCAAAGAAAGTCAAGAAGAAGCAAACAAGAGAACAACAGTTCATGTCAACAAACATGTGAATGTCATTTTCGCTCATTAACAGTTAGTGTAAGAAATAATCCTAAATTCCAAAAGAAGGTGCCTACAATTTCCTATCAAGTCTACATCGTTTGACAAATAAAACACGTTTTGCCACGAAGAAAACTTACTGCAACAAGAAAAAAGGGGAGCAGGAGATTTACCTGAAGCAGGAGATTTCTGCCATGACTGCGCCTGAAAATTGTGCAAAGGGGAGCCTTCTGATGAAACGAAAGCAGATTCAGATTTGACATCAGACATATCGTTACGACTAATCCCATCAGATAACCAACTGACAGAGGTCTCTTCACCTGCCACTCGTCCTCTATTATCCCATCGGAAGCTCCAATTAGGAGAATGCCTCAAAGTGTTTCTTTGCAAATTCTCGAGTGCTGGTGTATTAGGCACCACCATCTTGTCTCGAGCAGCAACACAACAAGCGTTCCCCATAACTGAAGCGTACGATTGAAACGAAAACTACTAAGCACCGCACAAAGAGACACTCCGGCTAGATGTTTTGGCACATAAAACCACCTCAAAACCTTCAAGAATACAAAAATTCAAGAACTCAATCAGAATCAATTATGACTATAAATCCATCAAAACCTAAAACGTCTAACATCAAATAACTAGTAAAACCCAAAAACCTAACATCTCTAACATCAAAGAGCTAGTAAAACAAAAAAAACACCAATCAAAGATTCAATTCAACCTGATAAGAGCTTACCATTCATCCACAGGACAACTTAAAACTGGCCATAGCCAAGATAAATGAAGTTAGAAGTAGAAGAATCAAATGAAATACTTTGAGAAGGAATCAAATCAAGAAACTCGTTGCTCACTAACTTGTAGGTGGTAAGTGAACTTACACGACTATCTTCACTAAGAAAATCCCAAAAAAATCCAATCTTTTTTTTACTCAAGACACCAAAAATAGCAATTGAATCGGGCAATATCAACAAAACTAAGTAAATAAAACTAAACAGATCCGAGATTAGAGCCAAGGAACTTGCAAGACAAGTTGAGATTACCCCAAAATAGAAACAAAAAAACCCTAAAAAAACCAAAATCGAAAAGAAGAATAAACAACAATTCAGCATGTGAGACGAACACCAAACCTGCTCTCAGAATTGGGAAAAGAATATAACTTAGACAGCTTCACATAGCTAGAGCGAGAGAGCTTTGGGAATGAATTTTTAGAGTGAGAAAACTGAGCTTTATTTGCTTTCGTCTTCTTCTCTCTCTCTCCCCTCTTGAGAAGGAAAGAGACGATTCCAAGTCTTCTCTGACGTCTGTCTTTATTTAACGCCGTTAGATTTCGGTTTAGACCCATATATATAAACCAGACCAAATGACAAAAAATAAATCGAGTATTTATCTACTTTTCTGTTAAATGTCTTTGTTTTTTTGTAATTGGATTAAAAATTTCATACATTATACAATTTTTGTATTTAATTTTGGTTTAGAAAAATGGAATAAATTGGTCCTCTTCTTCGGTTTGATAGAACCAAACCAACCAAACATCATTATGGTTTTGACTTATTGTTGCGAGTGAGACCGTTACTTTTAGCGGAGTGTAGTAAGCGACGTAGGGCGAACGATGCCACATCATTTTCAAAGAGACTAATAAAAAAACGGAAGGGGGCGTCAACTTTAACGGAGCGGACGTCGGTAAAATTGGACGGTTTATTTTAAAACCAAGTTGGGTTGCCAAATTGAAAACATTATGATTTATAAAGGACTAGAATAGAAATCTAAAGTTTTCTTACGGAATACGTTTGGAAGGTTGTGATGAGATGAGACCAACGCGTAAAGATGAAAGGGGAATAAAAGAAAAGGCGACAACAACAACACGCCTTAATACTCTCTTTTGTTGTCGGTCAAGCCTAACAAAATCACACTATACTTCAAAGTTCCTAACGACAATATATATAAAAATTCAATATGTAGTTTTTGTATCTTTTTGCAAAAGTTGGTGGGGGTTTGATTGATGAGATTACCTAACAAACACTTAAAAGATCATTTCATTTCTAGGTTCGAATCTGACATATGAATGATGAAACAATATTGGAAAATACTAAAGAGGTATCACTTTGGTTTAACGAGTATTTGATGAGAATAACAAATGTATTCATCTACACAAACAAAATTTTCAATCTCTACAAAACTTGTGCAAAGTAAAAAAAGGGGAAATGCAACTTCATCATATTCAATTGGGAGTTTTAAGACGTTGCCTTTGAAGAACCTCCGGTGTCTTGTTTCACAGCGGGTTCGCGACGCAAGCTGCTTCCTCTCGTGTATGGCTTCTTAGCACCCTTATAAAGAGAAACAGAGAGATTTCACAATCTTTAATTATAAAATTGTAGGCTCCTAATATTGAATATAAAACCCGATGATCGTTTCTTTGTATGTTAAGTTACGAACCCTTTTGTTCTTGCTCACCTGGAAGATCGTTCCAAGTTTCTTCAATCCTATGGCACGAGCTCGAAGAACATTTTTAGAAACACTTGGATCTTTAAGCACCTTGTGACCAAGAGAGAGACAAATATGATCATTACTACAAAGAAATGGTCATATAATGTACTAATGTAGTATGATGAATCTTATTAGTATCTTACAGATTGGCAAACATGAGATAGAGTGGATTCGATGTCGAGAACATTGATTTGCCAAAGGGATTGAAGCAAAGCATCCATTTTAGCTTCAATTGCTTTCTGAATATGCTCCTCTTTGTTCTCTCCTTGGTGTTCATTCAACTTGTTCACTTCATCTTGCAACTGAAGTAACGACACCGCACCTACAAGATTGAAACAATGTCATCCAAAGTAAGTAACGATTTAGTTCAGTTAGAAAACCAAGAGTGTTTGGTTTTTTTTTTTATACCAGAAGCAGCCATCACTTGAGATTTCATATGGTGGCCTTTGTCACGCACCCATTCTGCTAAGAACGGTACTTTCATATATCGCTTGTCTTTACCGATTTCTTTAGCAGCTTTTCTTGTGTAAATGTAACCAATCGTATGCATCATTGCCTCTCCGAAACCTTAAATAGTCAAAGCAAGATTATGAAATCATTTTCAGTTTATGCAAAGTTAACACCTTTCTTGGTTTTAAAGAACCAAACGACTATCCTACACAGCTAAAATGCAAAAGGTTCTTTTTTTTTACCGGCAGAAGAAAGCCGCTTTGCCTCTTCGTTAGCCCATTCGATAAATTCATCGGTCCGTCCTTCCACAAACTGTTCAAGTTTGTTCTTCAATGCAGCGGCGAGCTTGTCTTCCCTTTCCTTTTGTAGAGCCTGCATACAATACAATGCCCACATATAAACATGGAGAAAAGTAACTAAACATCGCCGAGTTAAGTGTAAGTAGAACGGTAAAGACAGATGTACTTTGATCTTGTCTTGAAGCATTTGTTTTCTGATTTCAGGCTCATGTGATTCTAAGTCAGCTTCGATTGATGCCAAATAAGCAAGTGCAAGCTGGCCAACGTATTCTTCAAAGACTTCGCTTCCGAAAAGCATACCAAATACAGCTGCAGGATCGACCATTGCATCCCTGAAAAGCAAAATTTTTTTTATCAAGCTACAAGCACAAAACCAAAACCATATATGCAAAAGTAGTTGTAAACTGCAGAGAGGCCCAAAAACTTACTGCTGAACACCTTCTTTGCCATATTTGTCATAAGCTGCTCGCTTATCCGGATTGCTCAGAACCTGATATGCCTCACCTAAAACCTTTTCATTCATGAAAGCAACAAAAGACATGAAATAGTAGAGTCACCACCAGCAATTTTTGTTTGAAGATGTCCAGTAAACAATACATAAAGACCCTAAAAACAAACAGAACAGTAACCAATCTGACAAAACACCTTATAGTGTCTTGATTCACCTGAAAGTTTTTAGCAGCTTGAGGGTCTCCAGGGTTCTTGTCTGGATGAACTTTCCTTGCCTAAAGAGCAAAAGTACACCAAAATATCCAAACAAATCAAAATTTAACATTATCATAATCAAAAACACAAACAAACACTAAAAGCAGAGTTTTTTACTTTTTTAACACACACACACACAAAAAGGGACATACTTTTAAGTAGTAAGCCTTTTTAATCTCAGCATCTGAAGCATTAGTTTCGACGCCTAAGATCTCATAGTACTCGGTCTCTTTCACCATACCTTTTGCTCTGAACAAATGTGAACAAAAAAAAACACAAATCAAGACCAAGTTTTTTAAAATTTTGATCACAATATCAATGTATGCGGAAACGTTATTCACGATTTATTCCCCCATTTATTCTCGTGATCATTCCAAAAGAGAGAAATTTCGATTTCCAAATCTTATTACAAAAAAAAAACCCAGATTTTTGGGGATGAAGAACACAATTTTGGAGTGGCGAGATCTCATATGAATCTTAAGACAAAAGAAAAACATAAAGAGAAAAGGCAAAAGAATCTTACTGATCGTGCAGAAATGTAAATGGAGGAGGGCACAATATTATCTCGATTCTAGTTGGGGAAATTGTGAAAAGGTTTGGTCTTTTATATGAGGAAGAGACGAGTAAGCAAAGCAGATATACAACGATGCGCTTCTGTGCTGTTTCCTTGTAAATGAAAGGACCAGAGTTGTTTACCGTGTCCGTGACTAATGCACACGTGTCCGAGAATCTTCCGACCAAACCGGGATCAGGATCAAAATTCAAAACCACTACGCTGTGAGCCAATTACAAAAAGACGTATTTTTGCAAATTAAATATATATGTTTCGTTTACATATCTGAACTCTTGGATCGCTGGAACCCTAGTTTCTGCAAGCGTAAACCTTTAAGGCTACGAATCGAGATTCACTGAACTGTTTTTGTGATTTCCAGGTGATGTAAGTTTCATATTCTCTTCCTCACCGAAAAAGATTTGAACTTTTTTTGTTGTGTGGATTAGGATTATTTTGCTTAATATACATGTACGAGAAACCTCAAGCGTCCATGTGGTAAAAATAAAAAAAATGTTTACTTTGCTTAATATACATGTACATGTTGCGTTTGTGGCATGACTTCATTTCTAGGGACTGGATAGTCCGCATTTCGCATGTGTATAGGGAGGCTAATCGTCTAGCTGACGGGTTAACAAACTATGCTTTTTCTTTACCTTAGTTTTCAGTTTTTAGATATGGCTCTGGATTGTATTGAGTCGATTATTGAGGATGATGCTCGTGGAACTATGTTTCCTAGTCCCGGTCTTCTACCAAAAAAAATATACATGTACATGGTTTCTTTGATGTGTTATCACGAGTATTTCCATGGAGATGTGATTACAAGGACAGAACAAACATGGTGTGCGGAACAGAGTAAATCTCCTACTAATAACACAGACACGTACAGTTGTGGGTAGCGAGAAGACAGTTGTTTTGGTAAATACTGTGAGAGGAATAATCTGGAAGAGATAGAAATGTGCGGAGGGTCAAAGAGAGCTACATCAGAGAAAATTAGACCTTTTGTGTTTACTCCTAGCTCGACAGAAGAGATCATGTACACTGCAATTAACGTCTTACTATAATGCTGTAACCGACAATTTCTTGATCTATATCTGTTGTGTTTCTTGATCTCTTTCGTCGGGGTACTAGTAGAAAAAGAATTACTTGAAGTCCCTGTAACCTGCATTATTCTCAAGATGACATTGAGAAGTTCGATTCAGATGAAACCAAGAAAGTAGCAGAGTTAAAGCAGATTCGCCGGTTAGCTATCAGACCTAGTCACACAAGACTGCCGGATCACGTTGGTCAAAACAAGACCTTGAATTGTTTACGAGCTAGGTACATTGTTGAACCTTTAAGCCAATTGATGTTTTGTAAGAGTTTTGAAAAGCCAGCCGCAGTTATTTTTATGTGAAGAAGATTCCTCAGTTTCCGGCTTCTTTCTCCTCAGCAGATCATACTCGTTACCAGAACGTAATTAACAAGTTTCAAAAAGAGGCTGTTGAAGAACATGACAAGACAAAGCTGAAACTGAATGTGATCATTGGGCTTCCCCGATGATGAAGTTGAATTGGGCTTTCACGATGATGAGGTTGAATGTGATCATTGGGCTTCTTGTAAGAGTGATAACATAGGATTTAGCAAGACAAATTTCCATTTGTATTTAACTTTGAAATTTGCATGTAAAATGTGTATATCTATCTCCTTCACGGCAAAGTCATTTTGAATAAAAAAAAAAAAAAGAATAATAATACAGTGTTGTGTTGTTGAAATGATATAATAGCAATGATTGGTTATGAATTAAAATATCAACAAGAACGTACTAAACCAATCATATAACTTACTGATCATTGGATCGGCGAAGGTCGTCTGATCCCAAAGTCAATATTTCTTGCTGTTAGATTCACATTTAATGAACCGTCTCTAATTTTTTGTTTTGTTTTATTTTGAATTGTTGATGATGATTTTATACGTATAAAAATGTTTATATTTGTCAAAGTAAACAATAATATAAATTATAAATATTCTCAACTAGAATTGGGAATGCCTAACGACCGTTGACCCTGTCCTTTAATTGCTCCGTATTTATTTGAGAAAACAAAATTATTTGTATTTTTTTAATCTGTTATCAGTCCTCTGCTATCCGCCACGTGTTACGTAGGTCTACAGTACGGGCACTGATTTAAAATTTTCTTTTTGGCCCCTTATTTATCGGACATTTTACACTTTCCTGCCCAACTCATTCTATTTGTCAAATCTAACCCATGGCTCATTTTATTAAAAGAAGGTGTATAAAATATTAAAAAATCTCGCCCAGGTTTTTTATCAAATCCAAAAATATGGTTAATTTCATTCTAGTTTGATATCTTACCTTTTACAAATATGGTTTGTTTGAATCCAGCTTAAACATTTGGTTAAATTTTTTAGGAACAATTTTTTTTTTTTAACAAAAAGGAATTATATTAAGATTTAAGATTGTCAAGATACGTTTGATGCTGCAGCCATCTTGGTGGACAAACACCATTACAATAGTAATTCCTATCTAAGCAACCAAATTTCGCTAAAATTTTTTAGGAACAATATTTAGGCAAATGTTGGATAAAAAAACAAAAAGAAAAACATTTGGAATATATATAAATGATCCAAATTAAGTGGGGTCATAGTGTAAAGAATAATATTCTTTTCTCCACCTTCTCTTTTGTCGTCTCTTTTGATTTTTTTTTTCCAACAAAAAGAAACAAATTTAATACTATTTGTCGTTTAGTTGGCAGAATTCTCAGTTTGATTTTTTAATTAAATATTTACAATAAATTTTGTATTTATATTTTTGATAGGTTTTTACAGGTCTATTTGTCGATAGACCCGTTAAAGTTTAGTTTACCTACGCGCCATTAATGAGCGTCGGATCATACTCGGTTGACGATGACTACTAGACCAAACTATTTATCCACTTTATCGATTTCTCCCTATTTAATTTATTTAATTACTTTCATTTAATCTAAAATACACCCCAACATTATGTTAACTAAATTTTCTGATTATTCTAATTTTTTTCCTGATAAAATAATCAAAGTATCTCAAAAACTGAACCAAATTTTATTAAAATTTAACAATTTTTCTAATATTTTGGATAGTCAAAAAGAAATTCAACCCGAATGAAATTGAAACCCAAATTTAAAATATCTGAATAAAATCTAAAATCTTCTATCGATGTTTTCAGATTTATATTTGTAATTTGGGTAGTTACATTTTATCAAATCTACATCTACATATAATTAATATTTTTGGTATTTCATATATATATATTTGACCTTGGTTTGGTTTTAGTCTAGCTAACAACTTCAAGTATACAATTCTAGAATCTGTTTGGAGAGCACAAATTTCAGTTTTTTCTCTAGTTGGTTTTTGATTCGATTATTAGGCTTCTAATATTTTGGAACAGATGAAATATATATCACATTATTAACTATATAGTTTATAAAATAGTAATACGATATCATTAAAAATTTTGTTCAGTTCGATGATATAATTTGGAAATATCCCGTGATTTAATTTAGTTTTAGAAAACATTAAAATCATGTCACAAAAATACAACCACCGTCAATTTCTGGGTTAGATTGAAAGACAAAAAAAGTGTAGGGCTCGCATATAAAAACGAATGTAACAGTTGGGGTTTCATTAAATACAATTTCTTCTTCTTCTTCTTCTTCTATAAAACAAAAAACAAATATTAAAAAGAGAGAGAGAGGCCATTATAGGTAAGAAGAAGCTGAGAAAGTACCTTAGTGTTCGGTCCGAATTCAACTCCACTTTTGTCTCTCAATTTGTTTTCTCTTTCTCTCTCTCTCTCCCCTTCGATTTTTTTTTTGTTCGGCGATTTTTCTGGGTTTCTTGTAAATGTGAGCAATAGATAGATTCTCAATTAAAAGAAAAGTTTTTTTTTTCTTCTTTGCTGGTGCATTGATTCGTGGATCAGCCATCTTCTCAGAAAGATTTGGGGGAAAAGAATCAAAGGAATCACTCTATGTCAGGTCCACTTGATCGATTTGCAAGACCATGTAAGAGATCTCATCTTGTTTTTATTGTTTGAATCCTTTTTACTTCTTTCTCTGTATTCTGGGTTAGATTATTTCCTAGGGTTCACTGTAGCTTTAACTTCGAAACGAATGAACTCTGAGCTCTAATCTAAATAATGAGAATCGAAAAAATTGCGTCTTTTAGCTCTTTTTCTAGGGTTTACTGTAGCTTGAACTTCGAAATTATTGAACTTTGAGCTCTTCTGTAATAATGAGAATCGAAAATTTGTGTCTTTTGGCTTTGTCGTGTGTTCATTTTAGGTTCTTGAGCTGGAATTTTTTTGGACCTGTGGGAATTCACCTGTTTGCTTTAGATTCTTGAGTATGGTTTTGTTGAGCTAGATGAAATAGTTCTATAGATTACTTTTATGGGTCTCATCAAATCCAAACAGCTTTCACTACAGGTTTTGAGGGAATCTTGAGCAGTGATGAGAAAAAGGAAAGAAAGTCAGATTTTGAGAATTCTGAAGATGAGAGGAGAACTAGGATTGGTTCTTTGAAAAAGAAAGCCATTAATGCGTCTACCAAGTTCAAGCATTCTCTCAAGAAAAAGAGTGGAAGAAGAAAGAGTGATGGTCGAGTGAGTTCTGTCTCCATTGAAGATGTGAGGGATGTCGAGGAGCTACAAGCTGTTGATGCGTTTCGACAAGCGTTGTTAATGGACGAGTTGCTTCCCGATAGACACGATGACTATCACATGATGTTGAGGTTCTTGAAAGCGAGGAAATTCGATGTTGAGAAAGCAAAGCAAATGTGGGCTGATATGATTCAGTGGAGGAAGGAGTTTGGTACTGACACTATTATTCAGGTTTGTCAAGCTTTTAACTTCAAGATAGTGTTGCTGTTAGACCCTTGTTTTCGATTATGTTTTCTTAACGAGTTTCTTTGTCTCAACAGGATTTTGATTTCGAAGAGATTAATGAAGTTTTGAGACATTACCCACATGGTTATCACGGTGTTGACAAGGAAGGCAGGCCTATTTACATTGAAAGACTGGGGAAGGTTGATCCTAACAGACTCATGCAAGTTACAAGCATGGATCGTTATGTAAGATATCATGTAAAGGAGTTTGAGAGGTGCTTTATGATCAAGTTTCCTTCCTGTACAATTGCTGCAAAGAGGCATATTGACTCGAGTACAACTATTCTAGATGTTCAGGGAGTGGTAAGTATTTTCTACAACTCCTGATATTGTTATTCTCTTACTCCAGGATGTTGTGGAATGAGTTCTTTCCATATACTTATACATTTTAATATTCAGGGATTGAAAAACTTTACCAAGTCTGCTCGAGAGCTTATCACACGATTGCAAAAGATCGATGGGGACAATTATCCTGAGGTACTTGTTAATTGGAGCTTCTAATTCTTGATCTCCTGTGTGTTTCTGGGACTTCAGGTATCAAATGCTAATCGTGGCTTTGTGCTATTTCATGCAGACTCTCCACCAAATGTTTATTATCAATGCAGGGCCTGGATTTAGGCTACTCTGGAACACTGTGAAGAGCTTCCTAGACCCAAAAACATCTGCTAAAATTCATGTATGTGAGATCTAAGTTATTTGGTTATATCTCTATGAAGAGACTTGTCTTCAGTTATATGAACTATTTTATTGCTATGTAGGTCCTCGGATACAAGTATCTACCGAAATTGCTTGAAGTCATTGATGTCAAGTATGTGAACCTTGACTTTCTGATCCTTTTGTCCTTCTCTGGATTTTTGTTTGATATTTTTTTATCGAAAGCTGCACGGTTTGTTTGCTTATGTACAAATTGGTCTGCACATTTTTACAGTGAGTTGCCTGAGTTCTTGGGAGGTGCATGTACATGCGCAGACCAAGGTGGTTGCATGCTTTCTGATAAAGGACCTTGGAAAAACCCTGAAATTGTTAAGGTCATTTAATGGACTCATCTCTTCTTCTTTTTAAGGATTTTATATAAATCATCATACCAGGTTGGAATCTGAGACATTTGGTTTTCTTGACATTATTTCAGATGGTGCTTCATGGGGGAGCACATCGAGCAAGGCAGGTGGTGAAGGTTTTGAACAGCGAGGGGAAAGTCATAGCTTATGCAAAACCGTCATATCCATGGGTATGTTGTAGTGATTAAATCCTATTACTTACTCAACCTTTAACTTTTAGCTAGCCATATTTTGGCTAATTTCTGGCTGTATCATGAACACAGATAAAAGGAAGTGATACTTCCACTGCAGAGTCAGGATCTGACGCTGAAGATATCGGGTCTCCAAAGGCTATTAAAAGTTTCTCTCATCTCCGCTTGACACCTGTTCGCGAGGAGGTAAACTGTTTCCTCTATCTTCTAATTACCTGTCAGATTCTGGATTATGAAGATGTTTTGTAAGTTACAAATTGTATTTGGGGTTGGCATGTAAAACAATGTTTTTGTTTATCGGTTTTACTCTTGGGATTTTGCAGGCAAAGTTGGCTGGTGAAACAAGCTTGGCTGGTAGTTTTCCGGGCTATGATGAGTATGTACCAATGGTTGACAAAGCTGTCGACGCAACCTGGAAAGTGAAACCCGCTATCCAGAGAGTGGCCTCAAAAGGTTAGTCAGCTGTTATCTTCTTTATGTTAGGCTCCGGTTTAAAACCAAATACTGAAGGGAAAAGATGAAACTTTGTGAAAAACAAATCTTATAGTAGTTTGCATAGATTATATAAACAAAGTTTTTTTTCGATTTCTTAGTTGGTGATCTTAATTCTATCAATCTGTCTCCTTCAGGGGCTTTAATGTCTCCCACCCTTCCAAACGATCCTGAAGGCATCCGAGCTAAAGTGCTAGTAATGTTCATGGCATTCTTGATGGCGGTTTTCACATTCTTCCGCACAATATCTTACCGAGTGACCAATAAACTTCCAGCGACTACTACTTCCCCACCAGAAACCCAAGGAAACGCAATAGAACTTGGTTCTAATGGTGAAGGAGTAAAAGAGGAGTGTCGTCCTCCTTCTCCTGTACCAGACCTAACGGAAGCCGACCTCCTAAATTCTGTGACGAAGAAACTAACAGAGCTGGAAGGTAAAATCGGAACTCTCCAGTCAAAGCCTAATGAGATGCCATACGAGAAAGAAGAACTGTTAAACGCAGCAGTCTGCAGAGTAGACGCACTAGAAGCAGAGCTCATAGCTACCAAAAAGGCGCTTTACGAAGCATTGATGAGACAAGAAGAGCTACTTGCTTACATTGATCGTCAAGAAGAAGCTCAATTCCAAAAAATGAAGAAGAAGAAGAAACATCTCTTTTGCTTTTAAAGCACCAGGCATCCCTCAAAATATCTCTCCTTCACACCAAGTGTTTATTTTGCTCTTCTTTAAAGGTTAAAACAAAAACAATGCAAAACAAAGAGACTCTTCTATCTGATTCTGATGTTAAAAGCTACTAATATACAGAGAGCTCTGTTTCCTACTGTGATTATGAGCCTTCCATTATAATATCAATATGAAAACTTTATTTATATTTATAGTCTATCTAGTAAAATCTGTAACATTAATCTTGTTAATGCAAAACATAAAAAGTATCGAAATTATCATTAGTCAGGATTTGATTTTTTTTTTTATCCAGATACATGATATTGTGGCCACATATCCATATTCTCTGATTATCTAAAAAGTTTTTGTCCATTGAACCTTTCAAATATTTGTTGTTGTTCTAAGATCAATCAATTCCTCAAAACTTTTTTATGAAGAAAATATGGAGATAACAATATCCCAATTGTGCTCTCGAGTTAAGTTCTCATCATCATCATCATCATCACTGTTCTGTTTAAATGGAAACAGTAAGAGGAATCAAAATGGAGCTGTTTCAGTAAATTGCTTGAAAGAGATTAAGCAGATCAGTAATGTTAGCTTCATCGCAAAGAAACCGAGAAGTCACGCGCCGGTGGTGAATACAACACGCGCCTCCTCGGATGAGAATCAGTCCCCAACTTCCGGAGGAGAACGGTGGCTTCTCCAACCAGTTGGTCAGAAGCTTCTTTGGTTTCTTTCTTTAGTGTTTTGTTATATAAATCTTTTATGAGTCTTGAAAAGTCTTTAGTTCTGACAACTTATAGGGGATGGAGACACAAGACACATTGGTTACAAAGTGGCAATGCCTGCTCCTTTTGAGATCTCCTCTGTAAGAAAACTAAACTAAACCAAATCTTTTGATGAATTTTTCAAGAGCTCACTAAAATGGGGGGTTTTGAGCAGGGCCAAGTTACCATTGGACGTCTACCGGAAAAGGCTGACGTTGTGATTCCTGTGGCCACCGGTATGAATCAGCTTTTTATAGTTTTGGTTTCAGTTTAACACTTATAGTTTTACACAATGGTGGTACATATACAATACCTAAAGTTTGGTTTCTTATGTTGAGTTGTTTTTTTCATTTACTTATAGTTTTGGATGGATCTATTCTGTTAAGTCCTTAATAAGTATATCAACTGCAGTGTCAGGAGTCCATGCGACAATCAATACAAATGAAGACAACCTTCTTGTGACGGATATGAACAGCACAAACGGTACATTCATCGAAGACAGACGTCTGATCCCTGGTGTTGCTGCTCCTGCCTTTCCCGGAACCCGAATCACCTTTGGTACACCAATCTTTTCTTATATTTTATCTCTATGCGATGTATCAATCAATGAAATTCACTCTTTTGGGTTTGTAGGTGATACAAATCTAGCGATTTTCCGCGTTTTCAAGCTCCAAGATAGTGAAGAATCCACAGAGAAACCAACCACAGAGTAACATACAAAACCTGAAAACTGCTTCTGTTTGCTTTGCAATTTGACCGGAATTTGTAGAAAATTCTAAGTTGTTCTTACAACATTGTTGAATTGTGGGTATATATATGAATAATAACTTTATATATAATTTTTATAACATATATATATATATATTTTTGTTTTTAGTTCGTTACAAATTATGTGTGAAAGAATGGTGAGTGGTAAACATAAGCTTTCAGATATTTCCAGAGACAAACACCAAAACAACAGTTACAGAAAGCATATCTCCACATTTTTTACATCTTTAAATACTCTTCACGGTATGATATATTTATCTTTATATATAGCAACATGGATTTATATATTTCCAAGTTTCTTCAAAGTCTTGAGGCATCATCAAGTCTTTCAGAATCCAAAGAACTGCAAACAAAACAAAACGTAAAACTACAACTTGAATGAATCTTAAAAGAAGTGTGTTGTAATGAGTAGTTTAGTTTGTTACCTTCTTCTTCTTCTTCTTCTTCTCGATATAAGCCATTATCTCATGCTGTGTAGCCATGGCTTCGTCCAGTGTCTGATAGTTTTAACCAAACAATTGATTTATAGTCAAATTATGAAAGTAGTCTGAATAAGAAGATAGTTATGGAAGCTATTCAACCGTACCTTTTTAGTCTGAGCCAACTGAAGCTCAAGTTCGTCAACACGGCTGAGGGCGGCTGTGAGGATCTGTTCTTTCTCCGGAGAGAAGGACGCAGGCTGATTGTCCAAAGACCTACATTTCTCCTCCAGCTCTGCCATTCTCTTCACCATCGACATATACTCTTGGCTTGACACCATTGTAGTCTCTGCTTTCTCAGCTTCACCGCCGTAAATAGCCGCCTCAGTGAGCCTCCTTGGCATGTTCTTCGTTAGCCTCACCACGGTCATTAACCCCATCATCAACGACATCACCCCGCCGAACAAATATCCTTCTCCTCCCTTCCTCTGCGATGGCTTCACGGCAGAGTATATATCTGTTCCGGCAAAAACAAACATAAGTAATGAGTGGCATGTTTAGTTGAAGAGTGTAGCGGAATCACTTTTCAAAGACGTGAAATATGATGAATGGTAAAAGATAACAGAATCATGTTTTCAAAATATGTATACCAAAACACGGTTTAGTTAATAATCAATGTTTCTATGTAGTGTACCTTCAGGTTCTGGAAAGTTCGACTTGGGCAGATTTGCAGGCCAAGTAGAAGCATTGACAGTTTTCTCAACCAGTGGCATAAAATTCGGGTTCTCAGCATCCAACTTGTTCTTCTGCAAATATATGATTCTTCAATAAGTTAAACACAAAATCTAAAGAGAAAGAGAGAGAGCTAAAGAAATAACCTTTATAGACAATGAGAGAAACTTACCGCAAAGGAATCAGTTTGCTTCGAATTGTTTCAAGCAAAAAAATAAGAGAAAGGTTATATTTTAACTATGATTTGGAATTATAAAGTTAAAATCTTATTGATTTTTGTTTGTACCTTTGTTGTGTTCTCGTCCACTGAGATTGTCTTCTCTTCAATGTTTGACAATGTCTTCCTTGGGCACTTCCCTTCTCCGTTCTGAACCATCTGTATATAGTTTAAAATTCAGCTTCTCAGTTCTTTAAACTGTTATGGAAGGTTCTCTATTACTTTGTAACTTTGAAAGGTACCTTGAAGATGTCAGGATCGTTCCATGGACCTTTGTCTGAACGCATGCAGCCACCCTTGTCTGCGCAAGTGCAGTTACCTCCCAAGAACTCCGGAAGTTCACTATAAACAAAAAGATAACAGGTAATCTTCAGAATATGAATTTGCGGATAAAATGCAGAGTTATGGAGCTCTGTTTCTATCTTACTTGGAGTCGATAATCTCAAGCAGCTTGCTTTGGTATTTGTTGCCAAGAACCTGTACATGAAAACATGAGATTTCCGGACAATGATAGACCTTAAAGTTTGGATCTGTGCAGGGACACAAAATGAAAAAAGCTTACGTGAATCTTCGCGGTGGTCTTTGGGTCAAGGAAAGATTTCACAGTGCTCCACAGAAGCCTGAATCCAGAACCAGCGTTGATAATGAACATACGGTTCAATGTCTATATGATCCATAAACACACAAAAATTTAGTACTGTCTTGAGTTGATAGTGATAACTGATAACAAACAATGTCAAAATCATAAAGAAACATCATAGTAACCTCAGGATAGTTGTCGCTATCGATCTTCTGGATACGCTGAAGAAGATCCCTTGCAGCCTTACTGAAGCTCTTCAACCCCTAAAAATCCAGAAAAAAAAACCAACAAAATCATGCACTCATTCTCTCTCTTTCTTTGATTTAAAAACCAAAACAAATGTGGCAAGAGACTAGAGAGCATACCACGCCTTGCACATCCAAGATTGTAGTGCTCTGATCAATATGCTTCTTGGCAGCAATGGAACAAGCTGGTAATTTGATATTGAAAGTCTTCTCAAACTCTCTCACATGGTACTGCACATACCTATCGATCGTAGTGACTTGCATCAGTTTTGTGGCATCAACTTGGCCTAGCCTCTCAATGTAAACAGGCCTTCCCTCTTTGTCAACACCATGGTAACCTTGAGGATAGTACTTGAGAACTTCGTCAATTTCCTTGAAATCAAAGTCCTTTGAAAGAAGAAGAAAAAAAGAGTCAGACTTTCCATTAAAGGAGAAGGCAAAGAAAGAAGATGATCTTAAAATGTTTAATCTTTTTCACCTCCATGATTGTGTCAGCACCAAACTCTTTCCTCCAATGAATCATATCAGTCCACATTTGCTTTGCTTTCTCGATATCAAACTTCCTTGCCCTCAGAAACCTAAGCATCATGTGATGATCATCGTGTTTGGAAGGAAGAATCTCATCTAAGATAAGAGCCTGACGGAAAGCATCAACAGCTTGAAGCTCTTCAAGATCAATATCGTCAACAATAGAGACAGACATTACACGGCTGTTCCTTCGAGTTCTCTTGGTGAAAGAGTGTTTGAATTTGTTGGAAGCATTGATTGCTTTCTTCTTAAGGGAACAAAGCTTCGTCTTCTTTTCATCCTCTGAGCCATCACAATCTGCGAAACAAAAACCTCAAAATTTCAGAACCTTTGCTAAAAGATCTACCCTCCATTTTGCAGAAAACTTCATGAAGAAACAAACAAAGTTTCCTCCTTACCTAGCTTATTATGCCGATCCATATGAGCAGATAAGGTATCCGTCATGATTGTAGTCTGGATTTAAAGCTTTTCTGCTGTCACATACACAAACATAAATGAAACGTTAAGAAATCCACAGAATCCAATATGTGATTATGTTTGTTCCTTGGGAAACAATCAATCAATCACAAGGAAAGAAGAAGTCGTTCAGACATTTGATCAAACAGGTTTAGTGCATAATAATCATCTGAAACAATAATCATGGAAAAGAAGAAGAGAACCAAAACCCACATTTTTTATTTTATTGAATTGGGTATAAGAAACAGATGATAAAATCAATCAAGGAGGTTGGAAACAATCGGAAAAATCAAACATTTAACGAAAGGTAGAAAGAAATGAGAAAGAAAGGGTTCTTCTTGATTTCGTTTCTTTACCTATGAAGGGATCCAAAAAAGCTAAGGAAGAAGAGAGAAAGAGAGAGGTGTATATAATATCTTGATCTCTCTCAATCTCTTACCCCCCAAGAAAAGGACGGCTCCAGATTTAGAATGCGAGAAATCTCAGAGACCAAATCTAAGAAGAGAGAGAGAGAGAGACCTTGTTTTGAAACTCCAGAGAGAAGAGAGAGAGATTTAGCTTAATCCATTAAAAGGGTTATTGAAAAAGGTTTGACCTTTTTAAAGAGATGATGGAAGGAGTAACATTGTGGTGATTTGTAAGAGACAGAGAACAAAGAAAGAAAGAGAGAGAGAGAAAGCAAAGAAGAAGCCATTTTTATAGCGGAGAAGAAAGGCGCGTGCTTTTGCCGTTTTTCTGGTGAGATTTTTTTTTGTATTTTCAAGAGTTTTTTATTTTTTGGGCCGCTCTACAAAAGGAAAATACAAAAATTATTTTAATATTTACATCTTAGATTAAATTCCCCACATTTTTTAAAGTTAATTTCAAGGTTACAAACTTACAATACGTTAGTTAACTATGAAATAATAATCCTCTTTTCTACATCTAACTATAAACACTTATCAATACTTCACATTTGTAAATTGTAATCACGTTCAAACTCTTAATTAATATTAACCAGAAGTTACAAAAAAACCACTACAACACGTTAATTTTGTATTAATATAAAAATCAATATTTATTTTAAAATTTAGATTTATTATTTATTGTAAATTATAAAAACTGTTAAAAACAAATAGATTACATATAATTTACTTTAATCCAAACTAACGGAAATAATATTTTATTTTTATGTTAATGATAAATATTTTTAATGAATGAAATAACGGTGAAGAATTCTAATAGCATTGCTCTTGAAGTTTTCTGTATATTTGTCTCAGTTAATCTACATATTATTATTTGAAATTCGAACACATATATTTTATTTTGGTATAGAAAATTAATTAACCTTTAGTGAATTATTAAGTTAACAAAGCTTTTTAGAAAAAAAAAAAGCAGCATTTATTGAACAAAAAAAAAACTCTTTGATACCAAATGGATAAAAAGTTCAATCTAATAATGAAAATATTATTACAAAAGTAATTTAATAGTAAATAAATTATACATCTGCGTATAGGATTATAGCAAAAAAAAAAAAGTGTATACGAAAGAGAATCATGCTGTGTTTTTCTTTCTAACTATAGAAAATATAATTAATCATAATGAAGAGCTGGTTTGCCATACTTTGAAATTTAAAAAAAAAAAAAAAACTTTATAATTTCCGACAATATAATTATGAACGGCATGGCTAGATGTAATGGCTTGTTAATTCCCCAAAATAAATTTAAGCGAAATATGATCAAAATTAAACAGTTATCATTAATTAAACAAAATATTTTAAATATGTCAACAAACAAGCTATCATTTATTTCATCCAGCGAAAAAACAATAAAACCGTATTTATAAATTTTGATATATGGACCGACCGACCATCATCATTCATCATGAAGAAGCCCAAGCTTCCAGCTCCCATATCAATTGACTTTATATTATTCATATTAATGATAAATACCAATACTATATATTTTATTTTTCTTTAAATATTGTTTTTTTAAAGTAAAGCAACACTGTTGTCAAATAATACTCTACTAAATTGGAAAAAAGATCGTTCATTACACCAAATATAGAAGAATGCATGGTCACGCATGCCAAGTATCATATTGTATACTCAGCTACACGAACTAGATGTATTGCATGGCCACATGCATCAACTATACAACGTCATGTAGTCAACACCATAGATATGCATCAACTATACAACGTCATGTAGTCAACATCATAGACATAAAATTCTGGTACACCGGCCAATTGATTCTAACGTTGACCGGTATTGACTCCGCCGTTGACCGTTATTGACCAAAAAAATATTCCAAAATATTTAATATAATTTTATTTATACTGTTAAAAAAACTAAAAAGTATAATTATTTTTGAATTTTTTTATTATAAATCTAAATACTAAAATCTAAATTAAAACTAGAATAATTATGTGAATTAGTAAGGGAATTACTATTTTTATAATGTTAATAAAAACAATTAACTTATTATTTGATTTATTTAAATACAAAATCATCATAGCAATTTTCTTCCTAAGATTATATATTTTTTATATAAAAAACCATAAATAATTAAATTAAAAAACTATTTTTTATATATATATTCAATATCTAAACACTAGTTTTGTTTATATATTTAATGTATTCATTCTTATTATAATTAGTTATTTTTAAAATTTAGAGCTAAACTAATAGTAAAATAATTCAAGATATTATAATCTAAACTGAAACTCGAAAAATCTTATGAATTAGTAAGAGAATTGCTTATTTTCACATTGTCAATCAAAACCATTAATTTATTATGTGATTTACTTAAATACAAAAATCATTGTTACAATTTTCTTTCTAAGATTATAGTTTTTTAAAGTATACAAAATCATAAGAACTCATTATAAAATAATTACAATTTTTAGTTTTTTTAACACTATAAATAAAATTATATAAAAAAAAAATTTGAATATTTTTTTTGGTCAAAAATGGTCAACGCCGGAGTCAACACCGGTCAACGCCAGAATCAGTTGACCGGTATACCAGAATTTTATGTTTATAGTGTTGACTACATGACGTTGTATAGTTGATGCATGTGGCAATGCAATACATCTAGTTCGTGTAGCTGAGTATACAATATGATATTTGGCATGTGTGACCATGTATTTTTCTATAGTTGGTGTAGTGAGCCATTTTTTTTTCCTACTAAATTCTCAATTTCGATTATAAAAAAAATATCTAATGCAGGTCAACAACTACTACATTTTTATGCACTAAATCAAAATTAAATAACTTTACCTTACGTTATGAAATGTACTGTGTTTAATACAATTTGGGCCTACATTATGATCGATTATACTGGGCTAATATTTAATAAGTATAGTAATACAAATGGGCCTAATTATGGCCCATGTAAGTTATTCGCTGCGTTTTCATTTTCAAAGGCTACTTCCTCCTACTCTTCACGGCGGATTCCAATGGCTACGGCGGCGGAAAAAGTTAGTCCCCCGACATCGTCTACTTGTAGTAGGTAATAGTTCTCTCACTCGTTTTTAACGTGTGTTATATATTTTTTATTTTACCGGAAAAATAAAGTCATACCATATCAATAGAAGGAAATATAATGCATGACATCAACTTGAGTAACATCACACACGTGACTCCAATAAATATCCAATTAATATATGCATTAATGCATGTAAATCAACATTGAGTTGGATCCACCACTCCATAAAATTATTGTCACTTCTTTAATCTAATTAGAGTGAGATTTGGTCGACCATTTCCTACATAACTCAATTCTTTAATCTTGTATTAGTTGGAACTAGATTTGATTATCAATTTTATTTTGAAATTCTTTGTTTTGAGCTTTCTTCGAGGAAGGTCCATATTAGTGCTTCTTATTCAAGTCGTTGCCCTGTGTAATATATATATATATATATATAAACACACACAACCATCATTTTTGTTTTCTTCTTCTTCCTATGCGTTGACTATTTTAGTTTCTTCCCTCGATTCCCAGATTTTGATCTCATCTTTGCTAGATTCCAAGAAAGTCTCATTCCATTTTCTCAGTTGTTTTTATATCATCTCTGAAAAAAAGTTCATTTTATAAGTTTCAACATATGGCTACTGGTGAAGCACTGTGTAACAATGTCCAAAGCACAGTTTCAGTTACTAGAAGGAGTTACCAAGTCGTTATAGCAGCGACAAGAGACATGGGTCTTGGTATGGACATGAAACTTCCTTGGGATTTACCAATGGAATACGAATTTTTCCAAGGTGTTACAACTAAGACATCTGATCCCAAGAAGAGGAATGCGACTATAATGGGAAGAAAAACTTGGGATTCTACTCCTCTAGAGTTTCGTCCCCTTCTTGGTCGGCTCAACGTTGTTCTTACAAGTTCTAGCTGTCTCGACATTGGCGCCGATGACAATGTATTGGTGTGTAGTACCATGGAATCGGCTCTTGAACTTCTAGCCACGGCACCATATTCCTTGTCTATTGAGACGGTCTTTGTCATAGGAGGTGGCGAGTTGTTAAGGTTTTGCTTCATCTTCTTTCCACATGGTTAATTATTGTTAAAATTTGATTTTGGAAACTTGAGGTTTGATGTCTAGATGTGATTGAAAGTTCTTGTGGTGAGGCCTTCTTAATTAAGTTTGATGATTGAAGTTTGGTACTGTGAATGATTGTTGGACATTTGGTACAACATATTCAACAAAAACATTGGTTGATATGTTGTGGTTTCTCTATAGGAACTATATGAATGCACCAGACTGTGAAGCTATCCACCTAACAGAAATCGATATAAGTGTACCATGCGATGCATTTGCGCCGAGGGTGGATACTTCTCTATACCATCCGTGGTACTCATCATTTCCAAGAATGGAAAATGGAACTCGGTATAGTTTCAACACTTATGTCCGAAGAAAAAATCATATTTTTGGTTCCGGTGAAAAGAAAAGTGTTGTTGGTTCAGATTTCAAGCAGTACTACTCGTTCTTGCCTAAGATGGTTTTCGAAAGGCATGAGGAGTTTGGTTACTTGAATCTTGTTCAAAACATTATATCTACTGGAGACATGAATGACAATACTACTCTTTCTAAATTTGGATGTCAGGTGAGCTGAGTGTTAGTGTCTTTTTCCTTTAATTGAAGCAGCTTGTATGGTTGTAACTTACATGTGAGTTGCTTGTTTGCTGTTTCGGTTAATATACAGATGCGGTTCAATCTGCGCAAGACTTTCCCGCTACTCACAACCAAGGCATGTCTTCTCATCTTTAGTCACAACTTTTATCAAGGAAGCCACCTTTTGATTAATAGTGTGATTGATTCTTTTTGAATCTGGAATTTGTTGTCTTGCAGAAAGTATTCTGGCTAGGAGTCGTTGAGGAAACCCTACAACTCATCAGTGGTTCAACCAATCCCAAGGTAAAGCCAAAAGAGACCTTTGTGCTACTACACAACTAATGACAATATATGAAAATGCTCAAAATCCTTGTTTATATACCTCATAATGTTCTTTCAGGAAAAGGGAAATAATCATATATGGGATAGCGATGAGGCTAAAGAATATATTAACAGGCAAGCACATAATTGAGAATTTAGAAAGTAGTTGTACTGGAACCAGACTCACACTGATGTTTGTGTTGCAGTTTCAGAGAGAATGCTACAGAAGAAGAAGTAGACAACCCACTCCAGTGGAGAAATTCTGATTCTAGGTTTGTGATGTCCTCTTCTCTGGATGATGAGTGTTCATATGTTTTGCTTCTTTGACTGATTGGTTTTACATTTTCCAGCAAAGAGTTCAATCAGCTCTCTGATGTTATAAACAAGATAAAGAACAATCCTCATAAGCAAAAGATCATGCTTTCAACTTACAATCTGAAGTTGTCGGTATCTCCTTGTCAGACAGTTGCACAGGTTAGCTTGAGTTTCATCTGTTTTGTCTCATCTAATAACTTTGTTACATTTCCATTGCAAAATCATCTCAAAGTATTAAAGATATATAAAACTGAAAATGGTTTGGTTTGGTTTTGTTTTGGTTGTGTTTACACCAGTTCTATGTGGCAAATGGTGAGCTCTCCTGTCAAATCTACCAGAACTCAACCGAAGCAAGCCTCGAGATTCCTTTCAGTATCGCTGCATATTCGCTCTTGACATGCATCATTGCTCATGTTTGCGGTATGTATATATCAAACCTTGAGTCCAGACTTAAAATACATGCACCATTTTGCTCATGATTCTTGTGTTAATTAACAGACCTTGTAGCTGGTGACTTCATCCATGTGATTGGACAAGCCAATATTAACAAAACTCACGTCCAAAACATACAAAAACAGCTTCAAATCTCACCAATACCCTTCCCGGTCAGTACTATATTAACTTGTTCATATATACATATATTTATTACCTTGTTTTGTTTCATTTCATTAACTCAGATGTCTTAACGATAAAAACAGATTTTGAAAATCAACCCTCAGAAAAAGAAGATTGATGATAACTTTGAGGCTTCTGATTTGGAACTCCTGAAGATATGAACATACTTCACAAAGAGTGTTGTATTCATCATTGTTGATTTCTACTTGTTCATTCAATTTTGATTGTTATAACAAGAAAATTACAGAAAACTTATACTTGATATAATTTTTATAAGATGAACAAAATTATACAAAACAACATTTTATGCTAGGGCTTTGAAATATGTATGCCCGTTATATATATACAAACACACACAAAAACATATGTGGATGCTTTGCATAAACTAAAGTTTTTTTTTTCTTTTTTTTTAGTATTTTATATTTTTAGATAATACAAAACTCTTCATCCTTTTGGTTCCTCCTCTGTCTCGCAATGAAAGACTCGATCTTGTATCGTAGTTCATCATCGGATTCATATACATCAGCAAATCTTTCCGTCTCCGAGCGTTTCAGTTTCCCACAAGTACTCTTCTTTGATCCCTCGAGATTCTCCGACTGACTCCTTTCGTAACTCTTCATGGGACTTTCTTGATTTTGAGGAATGATTTGTTTGTGTCTCCTCACACTTATGTCCTTCGTCTCTGTCTCCTCCCCAATGTTCTGTTTTGAACTGTTCTCAGACCTTTTATGTTTCTCTATCTTATCTTCAGTGCTCTGTTTTTTCTTGTTCTCCAAAATGCTCTTTTTTGTTCTGCTCTGTCTCTTCTTATCTTCAATGCTCTGTTTTGCTCTGTTTTCTTCAATGCTCTGTTTTGCCACGACCTCTGCTCCACTATGTTTTTCTCTGCAGATCAGTTGGGTCTCTAAGTTTCGTACTCCTCTCGAGCTCTCCATAACAAACTCGTCGTAAAAATCGTTGCTATTCCTCCTTGCATCAGGTTCTTGATTCAAAAAGAAACCGCACTTGGCAACTATAACGATGACTATGGCATTCCCCAAGACGAAAGCAAGGTGACGGTTGATGAGAAAACCCGAAAAAACAGAGCCCTCGAAGGTGATGACTAGCTGGTAACAAAGCTTGGCTACTGTAACCATAACTACAGTTATCTCGATCACCCGGTAGAACAAATCTAAGAGCTTTAGAGACCGAGACTTCTTCACAACAACCTTCATCTTTCTTGGTTTATTAGCCTTCTGAGTACTTGGTGAATCCATTGGCTTTAAAGAGAATTGCTTAAAACAGTAGTCGCCTTTACCAAGATGTTGTAGATCGAACAAAGATGTTGTAGAGAAAGAAAAAAACAGAGGAGAGTGTGAGTAATGTTTTTCTCTTTGTTCTTGTGTTTGTGTTAGCTTGAGAAAATGTAACATTACAATGTAGAGTATTTATAAAGGGTCACTTATTAGTGCATTTGCTTTCTTTTTTTTTTTTTACAAGAACCATTTATTTTCTTTTTCTCAATTTAACTAAAGTTATTTTGTTCTTATATGCAAAAAAAAAAAAGTTAATTGATCTTTCACTCTTATTGAAAACCCATAAAATTCATAGTCTTCTTGCCTTAAGATTGTATTTATATGAAATTATGATATTTATGTAAAGATCAAATCATAATAGTTTCGTAATTTTTTGGCGAAAAAATTATTGATATGAGTTTGTGAATGCAACTCAAAATCATATAAACTTTAAAACAATATTTTGGACAAATATTAAGTTTAAAACACGCAGAAGCTCCTTCACTACTTAATAAGTAACTTTATAAAATAGAAAAAATTAGATAATGAGAAGCTAATGAGTTTAAACCTGAAAAAAAAATTACAAAAATAAATGTATGATTAATTTTTGTAGGTGATTCAAAATTTTGGTTAAGAGTGTTTATAGTATTCCAATCAAACAAGTAACATACTTACTTTCTTATAATATTATACTATTTGATCATAGAATTTAGAAAGTGTGCAGTTCCTAAAGGAGTTTGTTAGCTTTAAAAAGACATTATCACTTGTCAAACAATGCAACTAAGCTTCTAATGGTGGTTTTTCATATTTTTTTTCATTGAAGCCTAAATTCTTAAATTTCAATTTTATGTTGCACTAGTTGTAAAAACGTTATATTTTTTTCTTGAATATAATTTAACATTAAATTCAAAAAAAAAACAATGCAACATCAGAAGCTATTTATATACCTATAAGTTAAATGAAACTTTTCATCTAAATTAAGCAAATTCATAAATATTAACTCTTAGTAGTCATATACTCATATTATGAACAAAATTTATACTACTTGTCAAACAAAAAAAAAGGTTGCATATAAACAATATGAATATTATATAATTGTGTATACATGTGTGATATTAAAAAAAAAGGTTGCATATAAACAATATGAATATTATATAATTGTGTATACATGTGTGATATTTCTCACTAAGTTATAATTAGATTAGTAATGACATTTTCTGTTTCATTGGTAAATATAGTTTCATGCACTATCTTCATCCATTTGTAATTTATTTACTCGACTCACAAAGCAGCCCAACATTAGTTTTATATGACCACCATTTAATTTTTTTCTTGATTTTAAAAACAACATTGAATTAATCTCTTTAAATAATACGTATCACTATATCTAAATAAACTTTGTTGCAAAAAGTTTTATAGGACTTGAATGATTAGCGTACAAAGTATATATATAGTGCCAAATTATAATATCGCATATTAATGAAATTTATAAAAAAAAAACTATCTAATCCAAATCACTAATATATTTTTAATATACATTATATAGAAGGAAACCATTACTTCTTCACTAAGAGATTGAGAAATGGGTTACAATAGTTCCACAACTTCTCTTTTGTTTATGTGTGTGTTCCTCCTTTATGTCTTGTCTCTTTCAAACCAAAAAGAAAAGTATGTATATGTGGTTTCATTTCAATTTCAACTTCTGTTATTGGATACACTTTGAACAAAGTTTAAAAGACCCACTTCCTTTTTTTCTACTTCTTCAAAAGACATGTTCATAATAATTGCTCATGAGTGTAAACGTGTCACTCGATGCTTCTTCAATCAAACATTATATGCAAATTAGTATCTACTACGTGTTCTTAGACACTTATCCATAAACTGTTTACGACTTAGGTCATATAAGCAACCGAGAGATCCTGATTAATTTGAGTTTATAGTCAACTAAATGTTTTTGAACCTGAAGTTTACGGTTAAACTAAAACTTGAGTTTATAGCCAACTAAAGGCAGTTGCTCAAGGTTATGTGTATCATATTTGGCGTCAAAGAAATAATGTGTTGCACAACGATCTTCAGAGAATTTATCCCTCAACAATCTTCAAGACTATTGATCTACAAATTCGCAGCGATATTTTGGTAAGGCAACATAGAAAATGTTGGCGACCTCTAATGTTCTTCGGATTCGATAACACCAAAATTTGTGATCTTTGTAAACTTGTTTTTACATTGTGCCAAAGTTACTCTATATCTAGGTAATGTTTTATGTAATACTTTAACTTCATTTCTAAATTTTAATGATTTTTACAAATTTAGCAAAAAAAAAAAAATTACAGTTACTCACTTACTCATTTTTTGTTGTTGTGAAAACCGATCGATATTACAATCGATTTATATATGTATATATATATATATATATATATATATAACACTTAATGAATTAGAAATTGTATATACTTTTTGAGTTATTAATAATTTAATACAACTATTCTTTTTATATAGAACAATGATTGGACCTTATATATTAGGCACAAGAGAATACTTCTTTAATATACAAAATGTGACCTTTAAAATCCTTTTTTTTTTTTGACCTCATGACCTTTAAAATCTATGTACTGTTTTCTTTAAATCTATAATTAATTCGAACTAAGATTTATATATAGATTATGGAGCTTTACTGCATACCTAATGTACACTTACTCATGAATATCTAGTTGATTAAATATCTAGTTATTTCGTAGAAAACAATGTACTGTATCCTTAGCCTAAAACAAGAAACTATATACTCCATTATTTATTAACTAGTGTGACCCCTTTTATGGTGGCAAATCTATATAAAGAACCAGAATCTGAGTTTCATAATTTTATTACATGCATGGCTTTTTGTATATTCCTAATCTATGTATAATTAATTCTCAAGTTGATCGTAAAGATTAGTTTAAAATTTGTAGTGTACATCTTTTACATTCATTTTTATAACATTTATTTCATCCCTTCGTATGTGAGTGCATGCTGATTCCAGTGTCACTTTGCTCATCTTATTTATATAAAAAAAACTAAACTGTGTTTATATAAAAAAAGAAAAAAGAACTACCAAAAATAATTGACAAAAAATCTGACATTTCCTAAAAACAATATCCGACCTGCCGGAATCGAACCAGCGACCTAAAGATTACAGCAACTACTACAGTCTTCCGCTCTACCAACTGAGCTAAGGTCGGATTGCTAATGCGATGATTACGAAAATTATTAAGCATAACACAAAGTTGGGCCTCAGCCCAATTCGGCTCGACCAAAAACTTAATTGGGTTTATAAATATATAACATTAATGGGCTTTCTCGAGCCTTTTAATGTTTGAGAGAGAGAACTCAGAAACCCTAATATATAAACAACGAAACCAAATCTTTCTCTCACTGTCGTCTCTTTTGGTCTTTCGTCTCTCTCTACTCTTACTCGCCGCCGATCGTTACTCCGTCTCCGTCGACACCACCATGGTTACTCTTCCTCCATTTCTATCTGTCTATTCGTATCGCCTAATTTCTCTTTTTGAAAGTATCTGATCTGAAATGTTGTTTATTTTCAGGCGCCAAAGAAGGATAAGGTTCCACCGCCGTCATCAAAGCCGGCTAAATCCGGAGGTGGAAAGCAAAAGAAGAAGGTTCGTTTCTTTCGTTATTCCATTTTTATATGATACAATCAATGTAATTGTGTAGCTACTGTAAATGTTGATTTGAAAAGTAGCAAATTGCTCCAATTTTTAAGTGTTTACGTCTAGGGTTGCTGAGAGTTTGATTAATCTTATTCGGGTAAGTAAAGGTTTAAGTATTTGTATTGGATGAAGATTGAGGTATATGTTTGCACTTGTTTCATACAAATCTAGAAACTTTGGTCTCTGTGATTCATTTCTCGAAAGAGTATAGTGTAATTCAGGTTTGTTTGTGTAAATAACGTCTTGCTTTGTGTATGATGTTGCGTTCTTGGTGATCTTTGTGCTTAATTGTTGTTTTTCCTCTCTATGAATGTTTGTTTTAAAAAAACAGAAGTGGAGCAAGGGAAAGCAAAAGGAGAAGGTGAACAACATGGTCTTGTTTGACCAAGGTACTTACGACAAGCTTCTCACTGAAGCACCCAAGTTCAAGCTCATTACTCCATCGATTCTCTCTGACCGTATGAGGGTATGCTACGATATACTTAATGTCATTGTTGCATTCTTAGAAGGTTGATTTGAATGTTAGTCGCTGACATTGTTATGGTCTGAATTGTTGGGAAAAAACAGATTAATGGGTCTCTAGCAAGAAGGGCAATAAGGGAGCTAATGGCCAAGGGTTTGATCAGGATGGTCTCTGCTCACTCTAGCCAGCAGATCTACACTCGTGCCACCAACACCTAAAAAGCTTGACTTTTCAATGGTTTGGTTCTCGAAGCTCCTCTTGAATTATGTCTTTTGATGTATACATTAATCATCAGAGCTCTTATAGTTCTTCTTTTTGGTAACCGTTGCTCCGTTGTACCTCAAGAACCTCTTTAGAATTGTGTTTTCAGATTATTATGCGAAGTTAAAGTCGAAGTTGCTTTCTAATTTTTCCCTAGTCATTTAAATGTCATTTAGTTATCCAAGTCTGTTTTGGTTTGATTTTTTGATGTCTTGTTTAGTGTAGAAATACTGGTTAGCTGTCATTATACTTGTCATTATCATATCATTATGTTAAATTTGTATTACCATTAACATCCAATTCATCATATCGAATACATCAAAATCAAGAGTCTTGGATGAACTTGGCCCCGGTGACAAAAGGTTTTCTTTTTGATATAAAAGCTTAAATTTAGATACAACCAAAAACAGTTTCCAATTAGCTGACATATACGGTTTATATAGTATCATTGTTTGAGTGAAATGGTTACTTATTATTAATTATCGTGATATGAGAGTTTTTGTTTTCTGAGTCATCAAAAATGGTCTTTGTGACAAGTGTGCGGCCGTGAAGTTTCTAGATTCCATCCAATAGAGAAGCAATACATTTGTAACTCATTGAGCATCATCAATCAAACTTCACTACTTTTGAGTCATACAAATGGTTACAAAAGAAACGTCCCTTTCTCACACATGACATAAACACATGAAAGCTCTTTTAGATATTTTATTTTGTACCTTTCTGTGAAAAAAAATCCCTAGCCGTCCAAAATCATCAATTTTATATCAATATTTATTTGTAAATAAATTATAAGTATAATTTTAGTAGTTAGTAACTTAAGGTTAGTGTGTATTGTTTCTTTGTACCAAATCATATCAATGTGAGACAGTGAACAACACAACGTGTGTAAGTAGAATAGAGATGAATATGAGGTTCAAGTTCTCAACGTGTCGTTGTAAGAGTAGAGCGAACATATGGAACAAACCAGAGCCGTCCGTTTAATGTAACAGTCTCCATGACTCACTCACTCACTCACATCAATTATGATTTGCTAAATCTTTTTTTTCCCTCTTTTGCTTTGAATATTAATTTTTATGTAGAAACTTAATCCCAATGTGCTAAAATCATTTACTCTTTACCAAACTAGTCAGAATCCAACTATGTACTCTACTAATAAAAAGTTGGGTTATAAAAGATTGGCCAAGATGAGAAAATAAGTTTACTTTCTCGTGTGGGATCACAGGAGAAGTAACAGCTTCCTCCGTCAACCACGCACTTCACTGATTTAGTCAGACTTGTTCTTCTTCGATTTCAAACGAACTGCAAAACATATTAATCAAGATCAGACACAGAGTTTGATTTTTGCTGGTGAGGTTTTATACTCTTATCTCGGTTTGTAAGTTTTGTATTCAAATATTAAAGATCTTCTTCTCTCTGGATCGTTGTTGTTAGCTTCTGACCATGAAAAAGTTTCTGTCTTTCGAGGTTTCGCATTCCCATTATCGATTTTGCTTTGTCTGTGTTTTGTTTTTACAGAAAAAAACCCAACTTTAATGATGTTTTCTTTGCAAAAACTGAAACTTTATGCTACTTCATAGTTACTGTCTAGCTTCTATTAAATTAATGATCTTTTAAGCCTAATGGAGTGTGTGTATCTATGTAATTTGCAAACTCGTTCAGTATCAAAGTAATTTGAGGCTATGGATAACTTTTTCTTTGGATTAAGCTCTTTATGATCCAAACTTGTTTCTTTGTTGAGAATGTTTCTTTCCAGCTTAACAATGATTTTGAAAAACGATGTTTTGTCTGCATATAAGTATCTTGAAACTTCAAGAGTTTTGTGTGTTTGAGAGTTTCAGAGATCTGTGTTTGTGAACTATTTGGGAATTCCAATTTTTTCTTTTTTTGTATGTGCTTATTTTAGGATATTCTCATCTGGGTTTGTGGAAAGTTCCTAGCTTTCGAGGATTTAACTAATGGGTTACTCTCAAGAACTGTTATTTTGACTTCTAATATTGTTCAGAATTTTCTCTGGTCGGTTTCACTTTAACACTTTGCTTAAATTTGAACAATTGGTCTGGATTATTTTATTCCCATCTTGATTATATTAATATAAGCTGTAGAAACTGAAACACTTTGTGTGTTATTCACTTTACTTGAAGCTTTTATTATTCTTCTGAGCCAATCATATCTGCTATTAACTTTCCTAGGTTCTGTTATTCATTTTTGTGTATCTTGCAGCTAAAAATAGATGGATTCTTCTTACTCCTTTGCCTTGGGGACAAGCAGTTCTATTTTGCCAAAACTCTGTTTCAAAAATGCAGAGAACAGGTTTTTGGGTGAGAAGATCAACAACAATGGTTTCTTTAAACGTTTTAGATCAGATGTTGTCTCCAAGAAGTTTGGAAATCGAAAGTTTAAGCACGGTGTTGTTTACGCTGTTGCCACTTCTAATAATCCAAAAGAGGCTATGGTATGTTGATCAGTTTTACTCTTTTCTCTCTTGCTTACAAGGCATTCGGCTTGCTTTGTGTCGCTCAAATTTATCATTATATAGACACTCTTCTTAAGACCTTTCTCAAACAGGCTAACCTAATCGGTTCCTGCAAAAGTCCGGAGTTCTTGATTCTGTTCGCTTTGTTTTTTCAGACAGTAAAGCCTTCAATGTTTGAGAGAAGAAAGGCAGACCCGCAAAACGTGGCTGCAATCATTCTAGGAGGAGGCAATGGTGCTAAACTCTTCCCTCTTACAAAGAGAGCTGCAACACCTGCTGTAAGTGTTTATCTTTTCTCGTTTTCTGAGAAAGCAAAACAGTAAATAACATTCATATGATTAGGACCTCAGGGCTCTTATCTTTAAACCAATGTTTGTGTGATGATGATTCTAATGTCTTCAAATTATGCAGGTTCCTGTTGGTGGATGCTACCGACTGATTGATATCCCGATGAGTAACTGCATTAACAGCTGCATAAACAAGATCTTTGTGCTTACACAGTTCAACTCGGCTTCCCTCAATCGACATTTAGCACGCACTTATTTTGGGAATGGCATAAACTTTGGAGGTGGTTTTGTAGAGGTATAAACAGTACTAGAACAATAAACAATTTCGGGTTTCATAATTTTCGACAAATAAGCAAACATAGAATCTTTTTGAATAGGTCCTTGCTGCTACGCAAACACCAGGGGAAGCAGGGAAGAAGTGGTTTCAAGGAACAGCAGATGCTGTCAGAAAATTTCTTTGGGTGTTTGAGGTTTGAACTTATGATCACTGTTAATGCTTTATCTGTATTCAAGTCGTTTCTTTGATATCTTTGAAGTGGTCTAAAAGCTATTGATCGCTTAAATAGGATGCCAAGAACAGGAACATTGAGAACATACTTATTTTGTCTGGGGATCATCTCTATAGAATGAACTACATGGATTTTGTTCAGGTATTTAGTTATCTTAATCTAAAGAGATCTTTTGTCATCTTGAAACCTCTTTATAGTTTTATTAACTTGATGTGTTGTGACAGTCTCATGTAGATAGTAACGCAGACGTTACTCTTTCGTGCGCACCAGTTAGTGGAAGGTTAGTTTCTTGATACTCTTTTACACCTTTTCTATGTGAAATATTGGTTCTGAAAACCGTCATTTTGTCAATTTGGTAGCCGTGCATCGAATTTTGGTCTAGTGAAGATTGATCGAGGAGGGCGTGTTATCCAATTCTCTGAGAAACCAACAGGAACTGATCTAAAATCAATGGTATAGTTTCTTTTTACGATTCTTAATACATATTAACTCAACAAAGTGACAGCATTTGAAAACTTTAAAAAATATTATGTTGTGTTTTGACAGCAAACGGACACAACTCTGCTTGGACTGTCTGATCAAGAAGCAACAGATACTCCATACATTGCATCAATGGGAGTTTATTGTTTCAAAACTGAAGCTTTGCTGAACCTTCTAACAAGACAGTATCCGAGTTCCAATGACTTTGGATCTGAAATTATTCCTGCAGCCATAAGGGATCACAGTGTGCAAGTAAGGTTTTAGAAAATCGCTTCCTCTTTCGTTTTTCTTATCCGTTGAGTGATCTAACTATGATTTTATTGATTTCTGTCAGGGATATATTTTCCGGGACTACTGGGAGGATATTGGGACTATAAAGACATTCTATGAGGCTAACTTAGCTCTTGTTGAGGAGGTAGAAACATTCTCCCAGTCTTTCACCTTATTATTGTCTCTCATTTTCGTTCCAACCTTTCTGTTCTTGTTTTGCAGAGACCAAAATTTGAGTTTTATGATCCAGACACTCCATTCTACACATCTCCACGGTTCCTCCCACCAACCAAAACTGAGAAATGCCGTGTATGTATCAGCTTATCTGAAGAGAAATCTCTTTCCTTTGTGATTGTTTCTTTGATTATGATTTTTAATTTGGTATGGTTCTTCTGTTTGATGATTTTGTAAAGATGGTAGATTCCATAATCTCGCACGGATGTTTCTTGCGAGAATGCAGCGTTCAACGTTCCATCATTGGTGAACGGTCACGTCTAGACTATGGAGTTGAGCTTCAGGTGAATCTTCATTTTTTTTATCTGAAAACAAACGTAGGGATTTTTACGCTATGTAGCAATCAAACTGAGTTTTGTTTTCTTCTTTTCAAAGGATACATTGATGTTAGGTGCAGATTACTACCAAACTGAATCTGAGATTGCATCTCTATTAGCAGAAGGAAAGGTTCCAATTGGTATTGGTAAAGACACAAAGATCAGGTAAGTTTTGAAATATCACACAAAAACCTCTTCTTCAAAATGGATTTGTATGAAACAAAAGAGTTTATTCTATAGGAAATGCATCATTGACAAGAATGCTAAGATCGGTAAAAACGTGATCATCATGAACAAAGGGGTAAGCTTTTCTTGAATTACTTCTCTTTCGTCGACTGTTAAAAGAAAGATTTGAAACTTTAAGACATTTAGTATTCTGATGTTTTCAGGATGTTCAAGAAGCGGATAGGCCAGAGGAAGGGTTCTACATTCGATCTGGAATCACTGTGATAGTCGAAAAAGCGACAATTGAAGACGGTACTGTCATATGAATGGAGCTTGAAAGTTGCGATCTTTTTTAGACCGCGGATCAACAATCTAGCCGGAGGCTTTTTTAGCCTAAGATCATAAGAGAACGAACAGCTTTGGTCTTGTTTTTCCCGGCAGTGTGTATGTATATTTAAATGAGCTCAAGCTTCGTTAAACTTTATTATATAAGAGATATAGAAATGTAGAGAACAATACGAACACAGTGGAGGTCTGACCGGAGCTCCGGCGACAGAATACTGATCGGCCGATCTCTCTCTCTTTTCACCTTTTGTATTTAGAATCTTTGATGATTCTCTTTATATTATTAACAAATAAGCTATTTATCTTATGTCCTAGTGTCACCATCCACATCCAGATTCACATCTACATAATACTACAAAATCATATATATAAAAGTAAGGTTCCACTCTCTCCTTATTGGTGGAAAAATATTTAAGGCTTTAATTTTTAAAAATAAATAAATAAATGTTTATAACAATCATTCAATACAAAATTTAATTACACTATAAATTATAATCAAATGGCAAAGAAAATGAAAGAACTTAATCATATATCATTCAACAAAATAAATAAATAAATAAATGTTTATGACAATCATTCAATACAAAATTTAATTACACTGTAAGTTATAATCAAATGGCAAAGAAAATGAAAGCACTTAATCATATATCATTCAACAAATTTTATAAGGCTTATTGGTGGAAAATTATTTAAAATATCATCATAAATGTTTATAACAATCATTCAATACAAAATTTAATTACACTATAAATTATAATCAAATGGCAAAGAAAATGAAAGGACTTAATCATATATCATTCAACAAAATAAATAAATAAATAAATGTTTATGACAATCATTCAATACAAAATTTAATTACACTATAAGTTATAATCAAATAGCAAAGAAAATGAAAGGACTTAATCATATATCATTCAACAAATTTTATAAGGCTTATTGGTGGAAAATTATTTAAAATATCATCATATATATAAAAGTAAGGTTTCACTCTCTCCTTATTGGTCCATTTTGTATTTATTTTTAAAATATAATATTTATTTTTAATTAAACCAAAAAAATATTTAATCATATACATTAATTTCTACTTTAAATTCACACTTTACTACTTAAATGAAACTGAAAATTTATAAATTTCCAAAGACTATTGGTTTTCTTTATTGAATTTCAATTAAACACACTATAAATTATAATTATAACTCCTCTAATTTAATTATTATAAAAATGTAACTTACATCACTTCTTATCATATAAATAGTCATTCTCACATCATTCTCTACCATATCTCATATCTTCATTATTCTTTTTGTTTTTTTTTTCAAGTTCTTGCATGGGGTGAAAACTCATTTAAAATATCATTGTAAGAGATTGATTAATTATTTAGTTTAAACTTTTATTTTCAATTTTATTTATTTTTTGTTTTTATGTATTTCTTTATATCTTCATTGTTTTTTATATTTTTAAATGTAATACATATGTATAATAATATTTTATGGTTATAAGAAAATCAAGCTAAAGAAACCATTTTCATTATTTTACTTTGGATGTTTGTTTATTTCTCACATATTCATGTATATTTATTTTAATTTCAAAAGTATGTAATTTTTTAACAAAATAAACTTTTTGTTATATAATCATCAAACCAATTTGTAAGACATTCTTTCAAGAATAATGATCTTTATATTTAGTTTGTGATTCAACATGTAATAATACAAAGAACATTATAATTTGTTTTAACTTTGAATTTTATACTTGATTTCCTATCTAAAAAATAATTTGATATTCCATTTTCTATCTATTATATATACTACAAGGATGAACAAATATAATTAAACCTAGAAATATAACTTAAATTAAGAGGAATATAAAAAAAGATTACAAATAAAATTATTTCTTGGGAATTTTTAAGGTTTCACTCTCTCCTTATTGGTCCATTTAACATTTATTTTTTAATTATAATATTTATTTTTAATTAAACCAAATATCTAACCCATTTAGTCATATACTTTAATTCATACTTGAAATCCACACTTTACTATTAAATTGTAACTTAAATTATATAACCTTTCAATTGACTATTTGTTTCCTCCATTCAATTTCAATTTACACACTATAAAATATAATTATAACTCCTCTAATTTAATTATTTTAGAATTGTAACTTACATCAATTTTATCATATAAATACTCATTTTTACATCCTCTTCCACCATATCTGATATTCTCAATATTTTCTTTGTTTAATTTTAATGTTCTTGCATGGGTTGAAAGCTCAATTAAGATATCATTGTAAGAGCTTGATTATTTATTTGGTTAAAACTTTTGTTTTCAATTATATTTCTTTTTTTTTTTTTATGTAGTTCTTCATTTTTTCATTGTTTTTATACTATTAAATGTATAATACATATGTATAATAATATTTTATGGCTATAAGGAAATTACTTTATCGATGGGATTCAAAAATATTGATTTCTCACCATCGCACCATAAGAAAATCAAGCTAAATAAACCATCTTCATTGTTTTACTTTAGATGTTTTTTTCTTTCTCACATATTCATGTATATTTATTTTATTTTCAAAGTATGTAATTATTTTAACAAAATAATTTTTTGTTATATTCAAACCAATTTGTAAGACATTGAAATAATAAAATTTTATACACAAATAAAGGTAATTTGTGTGTATATTTATAAGTTTACACACATATATGGATAAATTTTAACATTTTTAGTGGTTGTTTTGATAAAATTTGAAAAGGGGGTAAATTTAAATTCTCCCAGTATCATTCTTATTTTTATCATTAACAATATTATTGTTTTATCAAAAAATACTTAAAAGCACTAAAGAAAATTACTATTAAAATTGAACAATTAATCAACGAATAAATTCAAAAGATATGGTGTATGCTTCTATTGTATGATTTAAATAAATAAAATGTAAAAATGTCATAAACATTTAAATTTATTTAATCTATTTTCTATAGGGGGAATTTTAAAAATACCCTTTTTCATATAGTTCTTTTTAAAAATATCCCCTTTTCAAACTTTATCAAAAAACCCACCAAAAATGTTGAAATTTATCCAAATATGTGTGTAAGCTTATAAATATATACACAAATTACCTTTATATGTGTATAAAACTCTATATACCTTTCATAAATAGCGTTAAAATAAATTATAAAAATCTTATAAAAACCTTATAAAAACCATATAAACCCTTTTAAAAACCTTATAAAACTTATAAAAACGATTTAAAACTATTTAAAAAAATTTAGAATATTTGTATCGAATCTCCCAGTAGTAGTTCTTATATAGAAGTACCTTATAAACTATATAAAACTTTATAATTTTCTATATTTAAAAAGGGGTATTTTTGAAAATGTATAGATAAATGGGGTATTTTTAAAAAGGGGTACACCAAAAGGGGTATTGCTCAAAAATTCTCTTTTTTATAAGTAATAAATAAATTAAAATAATTAAATAAATATACAACAACCCGCGCATATGCGCGGGACATCTATCTTATTATTTTTGCAACCACTTTTTTGACCACTTTAATATGTAATCGATTTCCAAAAAATGCCCTTTGTCATTAACAACTTATTAAGGATTATTAAGGTTATTTGAGTAATCATAAAATCCGGGTCGGTTAATGTCATCAATTTATAACCCGATTTCACTTCCTGAATCCTTAGTCTTTATTATTAAAGAAAAAATGAATTTTATTTAATCATAATAATAACTAACGGATGTTGATTTCATACACTAACAAACTTCCCAAAAAAATAGCATACCAATAACTACAATACAGATTTAAAATGTCCTTCATATATGCCGATTATATATATAACTTCCTTAATTTATTCTATAAACTAACAAAGTTCCCAAAAATTAGCTAAAAACAATAATAAATAAAATCGAATATGGCAAATAAATAATCAATGAAATTGAATTTACAATAAAGAAGAGAGATCAAATATAAACTACTTAAATGTTAGAGTAAAATATATATGAAATGAAAACTAATTGATTATTATTGACGACAACTAATTGATTATTATTGATGATTATTATTGTTGCACACAAAAACCTATCGTCTTCTCAAAGTACTATAAATACTATAGAATCACAACACCTAAGATCACCAAACTCAATAACAATTTTTCTAAAACACAAAGAATCAAACAAACAATTTTTGTTGTTGTAATATGGTCACTTTTGACATATGGTTTTAATTACTAGCAATCCTAGGTTATACACTAAATCATTTTGTTTCTTTGTTATAAACTATCAATCCTATATATACGTACACTCATTTACAATATTTCGATTTATACATACTGTATTCTTTGTTTAATAATTTGTGAGTTTCGTTCTATATTTTAATGATCAGTTTTAGTTTCATTATATTGTATGATTTAAATTACAGGAACTATGATCTGGAATGTTGGGTTGGAGTTGTTCTCGAGACGTTGATATTGTGCTCTGTTATTTATAAAACTGACGGTAAGTGTTTGTAATATGAAGACGAAAAAGTGTATGAAAATTTGGTCTCTAACATTACTGCAATCGAGTACTGCTTCTACAAGGAAAGCAGAAAGGAAGTGATGTGTATATGTAAAATATTAATCATTTAAAGAAGTTTAATTTATTTATCTTCTTTGAAAATTTAGGAAGATTTTTATAATTTACATATTGCAGAATCACGCACAAGTAAATTGGAATTTAACGGGTAAGTAGTTAATATGTTTACTATATAATTAAAAGAATATTTGTTCAATATTATCATATCTAATTGTGAAACCAAAAAAAAAACATATCTAATTATGGAGGAGGGTCTCCATAGTTGCATAAAAAGTGATTTTGTTTTAATAATTTTGTGATAATATTTATTTAGTTTGCAAAAAGTTATGATTTAGCTAATACTTTATTTGGGAACTTTGTTGGTACACAGAATAATTGAAGGACTGCAATTATTAAAGTTGTCTATATGTGGATATATTGTTAGTCGATAATTAATCGAAATATTGGGAGGATCGATATTTTAAAATTTGGTTAGTATTGTTTTAAAAAGTTTCTATAAGGTTCATAAGATTTTTATAAGGTTTTGAAATTGGTTTTTGTTTTTAAAAGGTTTTAAAAGTTATTATACGGTATTTATAAAAACTATATATATATATAATTTCATACAAATATAAATGTAACTTGTGTATATTTATAAAAGTTTACACACAATTTTGGACAAACTTCAAAATTTTAATGGCTTTTTGATGTAACTTAAAAAAAAAATATTTTTGAAAAGTGGTATTTGAGAAGGGGTAGTTTTAAAATTCACTCTTTTATTATAATAAATTATAGACATATTTATATCTCTTTCAAATTCAACCCACATAAGTTCAATAATAAATATTATTAATTAATATATATATATATCACTCTAACATTTATATTGTTTTTTAATTTTATGATACAAAATCATAAAAATTAAATATAATTTATTCTAAAAAAGTTGACCAATGGTGTACATTAACACTAGATATAATAATTTTAAAATAACATTCGAAATAAAAATACCATAAATATTTATCTTATTAAAAATATAAAATATCACTAGACGGGGTTGTATAGTGGGACGGGTTCGAATAGACATTCATATAATTTAAAATACATTAACCCGTTGCTAAAACACGGGTAAATAATTCCGTTTGTTTACTATGTGTATATCACTTTTAAAATATATATTAAATTTTAGGAAAACTGATTTTTTTTTCCAAGAAACTTAATCTATTAATAACACAAAATCATAAAAATTATATGAATATAGCACGGTGTAAATTCTAACCCTGTACATATATAAACTATAATAAGTTTTATATAAAAGATACGTACAAAATACTAGCCCCGTGTTGTACCACGGGGTAAAATCTAGTTACCTAGTAGTAATCAAACTTTTGTTAAAATTGAAATGACTATAAATATCTTATTATATAAAGTTGGGTTTTCAAAGTTAGTCATTAACAAGGTTGTGACACATGTTAAATGGTAAGAATATATATAAATTAGTTTTCAAAAAAAAGAATATTTACAAAATAGAAAGAAGAAAATAAAAATTCAGGAAATTTAACAATTATGCAAATCTTGGTTTTCATAGTTATTAAATCACGTGATTATGATATATGTCAAGTAAAACATTAGATGGCGGAACGTGACACTTCTATTTTGTAAAAAAATAGATAAAAATAGAAAAATACAAACAAAATTAAAATATTGAGAACTTTTTACTTATAATTAAATTATTAACCTAACTGTTAATTATTGTGAATTTCAAAAATACCCCTTTTCCAATACCACTTTTTAAAAATACCCCTCTTTCTAATTTTATCAAAAAGTCACTATAAAATTTGAAATTGATCAAAAACATATGTGTAAGCTTATATTTCTAGATAGAAATTATCTTTATATGTGTGTAAATTTATATATATATATATTTCATAAATACCGTATAAATACCTTTTAAAAACCTTTTAAAAATCATTTAAAAACCTTATAAAAACTGTATAAACCTTTTAAAAACCTTATAAAAACCTTATAAATGTCTTTTAGAACCTTTTAAAACCTTATAAATATTTGGATTTAGTTTCCCAGTAGTAATGATGATCTTGATGTACCTTATCAACCATATAAAAGTTTATAATTTTTCATATTTGAAAAGGGGTATTTTTGAAAATGGATAGAAAAGAGGGGTATTTTTAAAAAATGGTACACCAATAAGGGTATTTCTCAAAAATTCTCTTTTTATATTGAATGTTTAATAACAATTTTTAAATATGCATGATACATAAATAATTTTGTTCAACAAAAACAATTTACCAACTTAAAAAATTATATTCTTTTTTTGAATACTTTGGATATAACATTCTTACAATATTTGAAAATAAATAACCCTAGACATGCCCTAATCTATATTAGATTATATGATGTTAATGTTATGATTTTACAAATTTTAACACATGCAATATTTTTACTTCATACGTTAAAACGTGAGGTTAAAATTTATGTTTTAACGTAAGCTATGAAAAGTTTGCCATTCTATTTTAATGTATCTAAATATGCCATCCAAAATATTTTGTATGATGAAAAATATGATGAAATGTTTTTGGTTAGAAGTCAAAATAATTATAGAAACCCTTAAAATTTGAAGCTAGGGATGTCAAACCATTCCAACTCATGAAAATATGGGTATTAATGGATTAATGCGTTGATGTGTTAAACTCACGATACGTGAATTTATATTAAACTTATACACCAAACTATAGTGTATAATGAAAATTTTAGTTAAAAAATCAAAACAATTTCTTAAACTTTTTATCAAAAAAGACCTTAAACAAACTAAAGGACCAAAAAGGGATTTTGAACTATCCTATTTGTTTTCATCATATTTTTATTTAACATTTATATTTTTCTAAAAGTGAAAACATTTTGTATAATGATGTTGTTGTTAAAAATCAAAACTTACTTAAAAATATTCATCATAAAAAAACCCTTAAACCTAAGCGTTAAATTTACAATACGTGAAAAACATGTTGAACTTATACACCTCTAACGGACCACAAAGGGACTGGATGTTCGGCCCATTTTGTTTTCAACGTAATTAAATTTAACACTTAGATTTAACCCAAAAAAAACCATTTTTATTTATTCAAAATTAAAACTGTTTAATTGAAATTTGATTTAAAAAATCTTGATAGTTTAAAATCAGAAAATAGAAATGGAAAATATAAAATCTTTTTTTCTTTTATGTATATTTTAGAAGATATAAACATATATCAAAATCTATTATTCTTAGTTAAAAATAAAAGTTAGAAAAGTTATAATATACCTTCAAGGCTGTGATTTCTCCCATATCTCAATATTCCTTAGACGACTCAGACAGTGGCCGTTCCCGAATTTTACACATAATACAAAACAAAACACATCAGAGATTTCATAATTTGACACTAATTCAATCTTCTTATAATTAAAGACAAACTATTACGAACCTGCTAATACCTCTCTTCACTATATAATCCTCTTTTAAATTTCCTCCTAGTCTCTCTGGTGAAAGAGTTTCAGTGGCTAGATTTAATATCCTGTGACATAGATCTTGACTGAAAGAAAACATAGGATCAATAAAAATCATCATTCAATCAATGAAACGATGATGTAATATGTATACTTTGTGCTCTGATCAATCTCTAAACGTACGGATGATGTAATATGTTGCAGAGATCATCATCATCATCGTAAGAATCGACATTCGTTTTCTAATCTTCTGGACCATCGAATCTTGAGTCTGCTCCCTGAAACAAAAGCATAACGCAAGACAGATCTTCATTATCTAACATTGAATACATAAAATCATATATAAGAAGTACAGAAGGAGCATACAATGGAGACAGAGAACCACAAACTCTCAGTACAAAACAAAGAGAGTAATAATATAATACATGAATCACAAGGCTAACATGATAGATAAACTAAAAGAGGTACACCTTTTGGTATTTCAGTGCAGCTTCTGAATCCAAGATTACAGAACTTTTCTTACCATCAGCTCTGTTGATATGGGCTTGACGTTCTCCTGTTAAAGTTAGCAGATTATGAGGAACAACATTTTAAGCAGGATTTATTGTGTTCTAATTGTAAATAAATTAAAAAGGAGAAATTGGTAGCTTTGATCAAGGAATGTGAACGAAATGTGCAGTAGCAGGCACATAGTTTCAATCCCAGAACATAAACTATTAAGGATACTTGCAGACTCGAGAATCTGGGCTCTCTTTCTACAGCTTCAGCTTGCATTTCCATAGCAACTCTTACTCCATTAGGAGGCATGATATCCCCTGGATATACATGTATTAGATACAAAGGCCAAAAGGGTATCCAGCAAACACCAGCAAAGACTCAACAGAAAATTAACTCACTGATCTCATAATGAAGGCACTGAAGACCCCAGTCTCTTTTGCAGCAACATTGATGGCTTCCTGCAAGAATAATTAGATTTCAAAATGTAAAGATGCTTCCGGTATCCAACACATAAAACTGGAAATGCATAATGCATTCCACAGCACATAAACTACAACACCCTTATCTAAGAGAACTAAACTCAAACTCATATAACCAGCTATAATGAAATGGACAACACAGCTAAACAATCAGTTTTTTCAATTTGAAACGAAGCTCAAGTACACTAAAAACTGAACCAGAAACAAAGAGAGCATACCACAATCTTCTCATTGAGAGTGTGCACACTGTTACAAAACAAAGATTTTGCATCAATCCAAAATCGTATATGCATATATGCCATTGAGATTCAATTCTCTATGTTGCAGACATGTAATAATTCTATGTGGTCGAGAAGCAACATGAGCTCAGTAGTAATTTATCAAAACAATGCAATGAAACTCGCAAATCAAATTAGTAAAGCAGTATACCTCGATTATTGAAAGAATACATCAATGACCTCCAAAGACAATATAACCAAAATGAAAAAAACCAAGAGAACAACAATAGACGATTTATTTCATTCAAAGGGACAAGGACAATGAGACAGATAAGTTTGATTACCTCGAGACCATGCATTTTTCAGCTTGATGAATATGAGCATGGGGAATTTATAAAATATGGGTAGTCTCACTTCTGTTACACCAGTCTCACTTTCGTTATACCATCAGGAACATAGTCACAATTAAACTAGCCTGATATAAAACGTTAAGTGCAAATTCAGAATCCAAACCAAATTGAAGCTAACATGTCCCAAACCAAAAGCATGAATTAAGCTTTTCAAGGAATGGTTAAAACTATTGGTAATGAGAATCACCTCATCAGCTCCAAACTCCACAGAAGAAGTCTTTGGGTTTGTAGAAAGTTCAAGATAATAGGTCCACAAATTGAGCATATGCCTGCAGTTTTCACTAATGGAGATCTTTCCTTGAAAACCCAATTAACACGCAGCAGCAATTTGCAATTACAAGTAATAAAAGTTCATACCTATTGAATGAGCATATCCCATGTCATAAAATGGAGCAATATCCAGAATCCAATACATGGTAAGTTTCAACCTCCCCACCAAGATATGTCTACCCGCTTCAGAACAGTTCCTTGAGTTGGCCAAAACGTAACTCAGAGGAATTCCCCTTTTCTGCCATATGTCTATAGTTGGAGTTACACATAGGCTCTACCTTGAATGATCCGTTGCTCTGATTTCAGGAACTGAAACTGCATCAAAAAGAAGTCACATAAAGACACAAAGTCGACACACAGTGTAATCTAGCGTGAGTTAACAAAGAGGGAATGAGGATAAGCTTTAGAAGAAAAAAACGTGTACCTATCTTGTAGTCTGTAGAAGATAAAACAGGTTCTTTGTTAACTCACAGCTGTAAGCTTTTAGTCCAATGGCGTTCTTGGAAGAATCGATATGTTTTATCTAATTAATAAAACCCTAAAATTGGATAAAAGGTTAACTAACGCTAAGACACCAGAGAGATCAACAAGAACAAGACCAAGAGGAAAATTCCAAGTCTGAGTAACAAGAAGAGATCGAGCGGTACCTAGAAGGGAAGAAGAAGAAGCAAGCAAGCAAGAGCACCGCCATGAGGAACCAGAAGAAGAGGACCCAAAAGCCTCGCTCGCCACCACGTCACTAACTCAGCACCGTTTGATCGCCCTGTTACGTATCTCCCGATCATCCAAACCGAATCTCACAACAACAGATCGAGGAGAAGAAAGCTGAAGATATAAGCTTTTTCAGCAACGATAAATCAAAGAAGCCAAGGAGAAGAGGGATCGGCTTCTACAAGAGAACGAACGAAGGAGATTAGTTTATTTTTAAGGGTTTAGAAGAAGAAGAAGAAGAAGAAGAAGAAGAAGTGAGAAATAGAGAATTTTGATTTTCTCGATCAAGGAAGAACGAAGAAGAAACGTTAAGTTGAGAGAGAGAGAGAGTATTTTAATATAAAAGCAAATTAATAATAAAGAGGTTTTAAAAGAAAATGAAATATGAATCACAACGGTCATATTAAAATTTGAGTTTTAAGGAAATCAATGAGAGATTTTGTTACTGTTATCACAACGGTAACTACACTGTCATCTTTTTCCGAAAACGAGATAACCAAGTGATTTAGAAATTAAATTAATACTAACCCATCTTCAACCGGTTAAGGAGAAATATAACCGTTATCAATTTCTCGGTTTATGTTTAAACCGATTCCGTGGTTATAAACGTTTAGACGCGTCTTGTACTAAGTATATACTAAACTAACTAGAGTCGGACCCGCGCTACAGCGCAGGGGAAAAGTTTCGACTTGTTTTTTTTTAATTAACGAAAACATTTTTCTAGTGAAAATTTTTTCTAGTTGTGTTGATAATTTTCATGATAAATAAATATTATTGATTAAATAGTTGCAATTGGGAATGGGGTAACTATTATATTTTCGTTAATCCATATAGTTTACATTTTGGGGGTACATAACTAATATATTTTTTAATAATAAGTGTTTTGAATAATTTTTCCATTTAATTTGAAATCATATTTATGTAAGATTTGGTATTACAAAGTATTTGGTTATAAAACTTAAGCGGTGTATATTATATTCTTACCGTGGTTAGATAGATTTTGACCCGCTCTGGCTGCAATGGAATATTTTTGATTTGATATTTTTTTAAAAATTATAGAAACCTTGAACTACAATTAAATTATTCCGAGTTTTTTGATATTTAGTCATAATAATTAAAAAAATTATCAGGTAAACAGTTGCAATTGGGAGTAGGGGCTGTTTATTTAGTGTTTGTTAAGCTATGTAATTCTAATTTTGATATCTAGTTATATTAACAAACTATGTTTTAACCCACTGTACACCACGGGATTAACATTTTTTTTTTTTAAATAGGTTACAGATTTTGTTGGAATTTATTTAATAATTATTAAGATTACATACTATCAATCTTTACTTAATCAGTTTAATAATTTGATTATACATGTCCTATATTGGTATGGTTGAAGTATGAAATTAAAGATATTTTATTTCTTAGTAATCAATTAAACATGTCCCATCTTACAACTCGTATGTCATATAATTTGTTGTAAGCATATTATAATCCTTTCGTGTTACAACCCATCCCGTCATATAATTGCCAAAATATTAAACTCATGTTAATTTTTTTGGCAAGGTCAATATACATACTTCAAACTTGGTGTAAAGTTAAAATATTAATAACTTAAAATATTTTAAATTTTATATGTAGTTAACAACACTTCTCGTTTTACAACTCGTCCCGTCATATAATCGCCATAAATTAAGCCAATGTTTAAAATCATGGCAAGTTCAATAATACTTTAGTTTAAACTTGGCGTAGAGTTAAAATATTTATAACACTTAAACTTTGAATACGTTTTGAACATTCTATAAAACTTAAATATTTGTAAAATTTAAACATTTTAAAAGTTTCACTATTTATAATATTTTGAAACTTTATAAAAGTTGTAATTAAAAGTTTTAATTTGTTCAAATAAAAACTGGATTAACCAAATAAATTTTAAAATTTGGAAGCCTGAGAATCACGCTTCCTGCTCATTCAGAGTTGGAAACATTTAATTTAGTCTCTCTATTTATATATGTTCTAGACCATTGTAAGAACAATTCTATCCGATGTGGGACATTGCACTTATGCAAATGCTGCAAATGCAGTTTGTATATATGCCAAAGTTTCCATTATTGATTTAGACTATTTAATTTATTTTCCTAAATTGTAAATTCACTAATAAATTGCCAATGTAATAAATTCTTATAGCATTAAATTTTACTAAAAACTCTTGCAAAAATAGTATAATATATATTTTATATTTTTTTACGTTTTCGAATTATTCTATAACCAACTTTTAACTAAAATTTGGCTTGTAATCACCATGCAAATGTTTGTTTATTATCCTTTTTTAATTATGAGAGAAACGATGATACCATTTAGATAAAATATTTAGCGAATATCATAGGATATTCAGGTATAAAATCTCAATATGTATAGAATCAAAGTGAATCAAGGTAGAGCAGATATTACGGTTAAGTTATGGATGAGTATTAATTATATTTCTATAGGTGGTTGCAGAATATATTTTCAAACTCATGTCTAGCGAATATGTTTCTATAGGTGACTACATAATAACCACGTTAAAGTTATTATGTAAAGTACTAAGAATATTCTGTTTTTGTATCTTGTACGCTGGAAAAACGGAGCAGTCGTTTGTATTTCTAACCTTGGCCCAATAAGGAGACCCGTTAAAGTCCGATTAAATTGCCATAAAAATCGAGCAAAACTTTAATGAAGATCCGAAATGGAAGTCGGGTTTTATTTTGTTTTTAAACCGACCCGAGAGAGTATTTGTACTTCTCTTTTACTATAGTAGGGATATTTGTAAATTGAATTTTCTCTTCTTCTTTATATGATTCATTATTTATTTTTCCCTTTTTTAAAAGAAACCTTTCATTGGTTCTTTCTATCTGTTTCACAATTTCTTGCATTTAGTTATGGGAGATGACCTATACAAGAATCAACCATCAAGCTTATTATATGCTGCACACTGTTTTAAATAAATTACACACATTTAAATTACAAGCCATATGTATGTATAAAGGATTTGTACAAGAAAAAAAAGGAAAGAAAATATATTAATCAAATGATGGAAGTATTGTTAATGAGAGTTTAGATTTTGGGAGCAATTTTGAAGTGAGAAGGCGCAGGTCGGAGCCAGTCTTTGCCGCCGATAAAGTCTTTGCTCAAGAAGACAGTTGCTTCGTTGTTCGATAGTTGTTTCGACCATTTCACCCTTTGTCCCCTGTCTGCTCCAGGACCATAACATTTGTATTCACCATAGTATACAGTACTGATCATAAATTAATATTGTAGACAAATATTAGTACACGTATTGATTACTGATTAGTCAATAATATTCATAAGAGTTTAACCATAAAACCAAAAAGGTAAAAAAAATAAGGTTACTTTTGTTTGGTTGAGTCTCCCCATTGGTTCCAGCCTTGAGGTGCGACGACGTTGGAGAAGAAGGAATAAGCAAAGACAACCCTAGAATAAGCTCCCCATGGTCTTCCCAAATACGTCGAGCCTGATCCGGTTAACTTGCATCCCAAGAATGTAAACCCTGATTTCTCTGTCGCCGACGTTCTCATTTGTGCCGTTATCGACCCATTATTAGGCGACAACGAGTGTAAATGACACTTCTACAAAATGAACCCACAAAAAAATATATTAAGGGTTATATTAAAACATGTAATGAATAGGTCATTCTATGTTAATTAAAAACATAATAAAGTTAACTCTATTTAGCAAGTTAAAAAATATAGCCTAAAATTAATCTACAAATTGCTTTTTACAACAAATGAATTTAGATAACTCTTAACGAATCCGATCCTTAAAATTTGGGATATATATATTATTGTATCTTAAGTATTATGTGCATGCATGGTGTATATATTTGAATTAAATTATGAACATGAGTTAGTATAGTTAGTTAATTAGTACGTACTTCATAGAGAGAAGAAGCGCTTCCACAGATGAAATCGGTGGCTCCTTCAATATAGCAGTTGTTGAAGTAATGGTTTCCATTGTCGTCAAGGAGAGTGTCTTGGTACGAAGTTATCACACATCCGTAGAATGCTGCTCTATCCGCGGCCACACGCAGCGCAACTGCTCGTCCCGCCGTTCCAAACTTATTCTAAATATTACAACAAAACAAAACACGTCACGACTATGTCTCTTGTACGTACGTTGTTGTTATAGATAAACTACGTGTATATGTGAGCTGAAAGATTAACCTGAATAGTGAGAAATCGGCATACGAAATCGGACGCGAAGATAGTGAGAGTGGGTGATTCCAAAATGTCTTCACCATCGTTCCATATGAGAAATGTGTTGGAAGCTCGTGTTCCACTCAATGTTATGTAGGGTTTATCCGCAGGAATCACCACTTTTTCTCTGTTTTCAATTCAATCGCCAAATATTAGCATTATACACTTTAAACACCAAATCAAAGTTATATCATATATTTTCCAAAAATAATTTCACAAATATAATAGTAGGTCGAAGCCAAGTACTGGATTAGCTAGCTGATTAAACGAATAGTTTTTATGTAACAACTTCGGAAGAATTATTTGAAGAGCTTAGCTTTTTGCATATAAAGTAAGAGAATATATAGTTTTATAAAAAAAAAATATATATATAAGATTTTAACCCTAGAAAGTAAAAACTAGGGTTATGAAGCTCTTTTTTTTCGCTGAAATTTTTTCATTATATAATACAAGGATGAAATACAAGGGTGGAATACGTTTTTGAAATCCTAAAACCGGTGGGAAACTCAAAGTAGATGTTATAAACCTCTTAAACATTATGATTTAAAGATTTAAACATTAACCGTAAATGTTATACCCTAAACCCTTTAAACTTAATAGTCTTAAATCTAACATTATAGTTTTTATTTTAAAACGTACCGGTAAATTCCAGGCTTAACCCAAATGTAATAGAGTTGGATGTTGTTTAGATTGGGAGGGATAGATTCAATTGCTTCTTGAATCTTAGTGAAGTCTCCTTTGCCCGATTGATCAACCCTTATTAAAATCGCAGTCGAAAAATCAATGGAAGACGAAGAAGCCATGGATGAAGATGTGATTGAAGAGAGAATGAAGATATTGGTGATTATGATATGATAATTATACTTAGCAAATGAACATTTGGAGTTTGTTTTATAAAGAAGACCCATCTTGGCATCATAACCCATGTGAGGTTTCACGTCTTGGCGATTGTGCATAGTACAAAAACAAATACAAAATAAGAAATCAAAGAATGAAAACTATTCAAATTAATTTGTGAAGCAAGAGTGTGAGAATTAGAATTTTAGAAAAGTTTGGTTTACACATAAAGAAGATTTATATATACAAACCAATGGGTTGACTAATTAAAAGTCTAGATGACGTACGTGGTGTGATTAGCCAGCAGCCGAATTCTTATGATCGAAGTTTAAGGATTGCATTTCGTTGCCAAGAGATTTTTATATTATCAGATTCAAAATTTAAATTAAGACACAAATCCTATACACACTACAAGACTTTTGTATGAATTATGGTATATATATCTTAAGTCGAAACCTAGACTACATTTTCTTTTTACATCAAAACCTTCATGTCATTAAGTTACGTGCAATGCAAGAGACTACTATCTCCGAAACTTCATTTCATCAGTAGTAAGTCGATTTATCTACATACCTATAATTTAAAACTGATAACTTAAAAATGGGAATATAAGTAACGTCTTTGATATGTAATTGCTTACCAAATCTTTTAAAACTTAAGTAACTATAGATGATATATATACTTTACGTGTTAGGTTGGCGGCTAATTGCATGCTTCCTGCATTAGTATTAGCAATCAAAAAGAGATAATAACTTATGCGTGTTAAAAACTCAAGACTAAAATGTAAGAAACAAAGTGAGTAATCTATGTTTATCGTCAAAGGCCAAATATACATTGAAAATCGTAATAGATCGATAATAACCAAAACTAAAGTCCATTATATGTAAATATTTCACTACTTCTATAGAACCATTGTTAGATGCACTCAACACTCTTCTTCATTTACATATACCCCTAACAGTTTTTTTTTTTATCAACAAATGCTCCTTAAATACATCCTCTAATTATATAAACTAGACATGTTGATTTTACAACCAGAGACGACCATGACCACAACTGGATATATAAAACTTTCTCCTTGTTGATTTTACAAACCAGAGGCGACCATGAGGTACATTCGCTTTGGCCCCCAAATATAAAGGTGTTAACTATACGTATAAAATTGTTCACAAACCGTAAATAAGAAAAGTCATATATATAGATCATGTTTGCAACTACTACAAGAAACAAGCTTAAGCCATGTAATACTTTTTTTTCAGCGCGTTACTGTAACACGAAGAAACCCAAAAATCTTATCTCTTTTCTTAAAATTATACAAGCCAAGTAGAACACGAAACGATTGGTAAACGAAAACATAGTCAAAAAGTCAATATATTTTTGTTTGCTATTTGAATCATATGCTTTGATTGAATCTGTATAGGTTCTAGATCAGTTACCATTGTTCTTCTTGTATGTATGCATATATGAATATACTCATAACTTAGCAAACAATATCAAGAATAAAGGATTAAAAAGTTACAATCGAAATTATCTAGTCATATACTCATAAACTCATAACATAGCAAACAATACCAAGAATAAAGGATTCTAACATTAATCCAAATGATAGAAAATAAAAGCATTCGATCCTAAAGATACTTTAAGATTTAGTATCTTCTAGATAATACACAAAGTGTCACTGTCAATTAATATAATTTCTTCTGGAAAGCCGCCGACATAAAATTGTGGGCTCACATGAAGAAAACAGTCACGACGCGTCAAAAAGCAACCAAACTTGAGCATTCCAAAGCCAAATAAGACTCTCGATCCTCGGAGACCCAGAAACCAAATTCGAAAACCCGACCAAACCCATTAATCGGAATCTCGAAACCCTTTAGAAAGTTTAAGTCTTTTTTTTTTGTTTGGTCGGAAATGGAAGCTTTGCCGGAGGATGAAGAGTACACTTACAGGGAAGTTGTGTTACCGTCGTTGATTCCGGTGGTTCCGGAACCGGAATTAGAAAGAGAGAGCGGAGAGAGGAGGAGAGGAAGAGATGTGATCGTAGCCGTTGATCATGGTCCCAATAGCAAACACGCCTTTGATTGGGCTCTTGTTCATTTCTGTCGTCTCGCCGATACTCTTCACCTTGTCCACGCCGTCTCAAGTTCGTTCTCTCTTTTCATTTCTCATCTTTACCACGATTCTTTCATTTGGGTCAATGTGATTCGTCCATAGTTCGATTTCAGATCTGAAAAAATCGGAGATTTTGATCCAAGTCTTGTTTTTTTTTTTTTCTTACCCCAATAGGTGTTAAGAACGATGTTGTGTATGAGACGAGCCAAGCGCTGCTGGAGAAACTCGCTGTTGAGGCGTTTCAAGTTACCATGGTTAGGGTCTCCTATTCCTTTATGTTTCCTCTTGGTCTGCCTAATCATGTTTGGAGAAGAAACTGTTTCGTGATTGCTAAGTTAGGGTCTGAGAATTATGATTCAGTGATGACTTAGGTGGCTATATAAACAATATGTTAAGTTGGAGCTTAGGATCGAAATTGTAGCTTACTTTGGTGCAGCTCCTGTGAAGACATTGTGGTATTTCATATGAGAAAAATCGGAGAAATGAATTAGATTGGCTATAGAAACAATGTATAAAATTGGAGCCTAGAATCTAAATAAGAAGGGATATATCAATGTGTAGTTAGTTTTGTCTATTGAAACTCTCTTTTGAGTCTATGCATTGGCCGCATTTGCTATATCAACCGCGTGAATGCAATATCTCTGGTGCGGTTTTTGCATGAAGGCATTCTGATAATTGTGGTACACATATTTTCCATGTAGTCTTTGAATTCAGTGACTTAGCTATATACTTGTTTGTTATGTTTAGGTGAAGAGTGTGGCTCGTGTTATTGAAGGCGATGCTGGTAAAGCAATCTGTAAGGAAGCAGAGAGACTGAAACCTGCGGCTGTAATTATGGGTACACGAGGCCGGAGCTTAGTAAGAAGGTTAGATATATAAGAACAAGTCTTTAGTTATAACACTTATGTTTTGATCTTTAAACTTTCTTGATTCCATATTTCTCTTTTGAATTCTTCTGCAGCGTGTTACAAGGAAGCGTTAGCGAGTATTGTTTCCACAATTGCAAATCCGCTCCTGTCATTATCGTTCCCGGGACAGGTACATTAATCTCCATCATTGTAAAATCGAGGCTATTTTCTCAAATCGTTTGTATATAACAACAACCTTTTGTTGTATAAAGCAGAAGCTGGAGACGAGTCGATTGTAGACTGGAAACGATCAGATTCAAAACCATAAGAAGAAAAGATCAATTCGTGTACAAGTATTTCCCACGAAGACTGTTTGTTTTTCATCTTTCTCGCTATTGTTGCAGTCTTTGTTTCAGTGTATGTTGTTTTTGATACTTCTTCTTCTTTTGTGTGTGTGTGTGTGTGTTTTGATTTGGGTTTTGTAGTTTCATATTGTGTATACAACATTTGCTCAGCAATGAGATTATTGTATTTGTATGTAATGGTCTGATGTGTTTCAGTAAACTAAGCTTTTTATTTATGTCTAGCAGAAATTATTATGTGTGAAACTTTCTTTGACGCATTTCATCGAACACTTGGTGTGCGTCTTTGTGTACATATATATAGATAACAGATTTGGTTTGTTACTAGAGATTGGTGAGTCAACCATGGCGGAGTTTGGAGAGCTCGAAGCTCAAGATGGTGTTCGAATGCCATGGAACATCATCCCCGTCGCAACGAAGAAGGAACAATCAATCGACTCTGAAGTTCCAGTTTCCGCCATTTACACACTCTTGAAACCTCTTCGATCTCACTCCCTTCTCCTACCTTACTCTCCACTTCGTTGCCGGACTTGTCGCTCCGTTCTAAACCCTTACTCCGTCGTCGATTTCTCCGCCTGTATGTGGGGATGTCCTTTCTGCTTCAATCGGAATCCTTTCCCGCGAAATTACACTTCAATCGCCGATAACAACCTCCCGCCGGAGCTTTTTCCTGATGCCACAACTGTTGAGTATCTCTGCGATTCCTTCTCTTCTCCTTCTCCTCCTGTGTTCCTCTTCGTTGTTGATACTTGCTTGATCTCTGAAGAGCTCGATTTCCTCAAATCATCTCTCCTTCTAGCTCTGGATCTTCTTCCTGATACATCCGTCGTCGGTCTCATCACCTTTGATTCGTTAGTTCGTGTCTACGAGCTCGGATTCCCTCACTGTACCAAATCTTACTTCTTCCAGGGAAACAAAGACTGTACCAAAGATCAGCTCTTGGATCAACTGAGTTTCTTTGTCAAGAACCCTAAACCTTCTTCCGGTGTTATCGCCGGTGCTCGAGATGGTCTCTCTTCCGAAGACATTGCACGGTTTCTGTTACCCGTCTCCGATTGCCAGTTTGCTCTTCACTCTGTTCGTAAATTCATTGCCTGAATATATCTTCTCTTATAAATTCCACATTGTGTTCACTAGTTAACTCCAATTTTGCTTCCTGGTTTAGGTTATTGAGGAGCTGGGAAGCAACCCTTGGCCTGTTGCAGCTGATCACCGCCCTGGGAGGTGCACCGGTGTTGCCCTCCGAATCGCTGCTGGTCTTTTAGGAGCTTGCTTTCCTGGCTCTGCTGCTAGAATCATGGCTTTCATTGGAGGACCTTCCACTGAAGGCCCTGGAGCTGTAAGTCCTGTCTCTTATAATCATCCCCATCGGTGGAAACTCAGTTTTAGCTGATGATCTGTCTACCTATGCCTTTTTCTAGATTGTTTCTCGGGAGCTTTCTGACCCAATTCGTTCTCGTAAAGACATTGATAAAGATTCTGCTCTGTATTACCACAAAGCGGTCGAGTTCTATGAGACACTTGCGAAACAACTTGTTCATCAGGGTCATGTTCTTGATGTTTTTGCGTGTTCTGTTGATCAGGTGATTGGATGGAGAAAATGGTTAGAAATGTCTTTCTTGTTTCCCAGCTACCGTTTTATCTAATATGTGCATGTCTAGGTAGGCATTGCTGAGCTCAAAGTTGCAGTTGAGCAGACTGGTGGATTTGTCGTGCTTGCTGAAAGTTTTGGCCACTCAGTATATAGGGATTCTCTCAAACGTGTGTTTCAGTCAGGTGAAAATGATCTAGGCTTGTCCTCATGGTATGGCTTACCTAACTTTCATGTATGTTTTTTTCGCTATCAACATTTACCAATCTATTGTCTGCTATACTCATCTTCAGCGAGTTTATTCTGATGATATGTATCTCTCATACAGTGGTATATTTGAAATTAACTGTTCAAAGGATATCAAAGTTCAGGGAATTATTGGCCCATGCGCATCTCTTGAGAAGGTATCAAATAAAACGTTAGAGGTATTTATTATTGCTTGAGCTTGTTGTGATCACTTTCTTGATGATTGTTTGCAGAAAGGACCATTGTGCTCTGACTCTGCCATCGGTCAGGGACACACAAGTGCATGGAAGATGTGTGGCCTTGACAAAAACACTTCCATATGTTTGGTTTTTGAAATTGCTAAAAGGGAAACAGCTGATGTTGTTTTGCAGTCTCAAAGCAATCAGTTTTACTTTCAATTTTTAACATAGTAAGGATTTTCAAGTTTTCCATCTAAATTATTATTGCTAATTATGGATGTAATAACTTGACACACTTTCTGCTTACAATACTCATGTTTCTGCAGCTACCAGCACTCAAATGGTCAAACAAGACTCCGGGTAACAACTCTTTCAAGAAGATGGGTGATGGGAACTGAAAGCTTACAGGCAAGTTTCAAATAGTATGTTGACAATCTAGTCTTAAATAGGGAGTCAATTGGATGAATTGGGGAAAAAGATTCCAATCACGTATAGAGGACAATAGTTATATTCCTACTTCCTATGATTAGCAGGTGTTAAAATATATATGGAAAACGAGGTGCCACACTCGTGATATTGTAGAACTTTATGGTTTATTTCATCTTTTGTTCTTAGTAATCCATTCTAGTTAGTGAAACGAAGTCAAGCTTGAGATTTCTTCAGTGGTTTGGTACATGGCTATACCGATTCTGTTTCTCTCTTCATATAGTCTCTAATTATTTCTCGGAAATTGCCGTCTGAAGTACAGGAATTGAGCAATGGTTTTGATCAAGAAGCAGCTGCTGTAGTCATGGCACGACTTATTTCCTTCAAAATGGAGGCTCAGGTACTTGATGATGAGAGCTAGTTAGTTTTATTAAGCTAGTTAGATTTTTTAATCTAGATGATTTATGTTTGAGTTAATTTTTTGTTTTACAGGCTATATTTGATCCCCAAAGGTGGGTTGATAAAGCTTTGATAAATCTATGCACCTGGTTTGGAGACTACCAGAAAGGAAATCCTTCATCCTTTAGCTTGTCTTCTCAGTTATCAATTTTCCCGCAGTTTGTGTTTCACTTGCGCCGATCTCAGTTTGTCCAGGTACTCGTTTGCACTGCCCATATATGCATGATAGAGTGACATAGTTTTTAACACACAATTTATCTTTTGGGCTCAGTTAGTTTTCCCTTTTATAGGTCTTTAACAACAGCCCAGACGAGACGGCATATTTCCGAATGATACTGTCCCGAGAGAACGTTTCTAACTCAATCGTGATGATTCAACCTTCACTGGTTTCCTTCTCATTCCATTCACCGCCAGAACCAATTCTTCTAGATGTAACATCCATTGCAGCTGACAGAATCCTAGTGTTGGATTCATACTTCACCCTTGTAATATTTCATGGTTCTACCATCGCCCAATGGCGAAAAGCTGGATACCATAATCAACCTGAATACCAGGTATTGTCATATCTCTCATCTTAGAAGAGAATATGATAAAATAGTTGTATTCTAAGAGTGTGATCTTCAAAAAACTTGTCTTCTAGAGTGTGATCTTCAAAATACTTGTCTTCTTCGTGCCAGGCATTTGAGCAATTGTTGCAGTCACCTCATGACTACGCAGACACAATCGTCAGTGAACGATTTCCCTCTCCCCGTCTTGTCATATGCGATCAGTATGGTTCACAGGTACCTCTCCTTCTCTACACATTCCTCCATTATATGTAGTAATGATCCATTCGTTGACATTGATTGCTTATTATTGTTGTATTAGTTCTTACTCTTGCTGTGTATATCTTTTTGCAGGCTCGTTTCCTTCTAGCAAAACTGAATCCTTCTGATGGAGATGGTCCTTTTGCAGGCGAAAGTAATGTTTTCACAGATGATGTTAGCTTGTCTGTGTTTCTTGATCATCTTAGACGACTCATTGCTCACTGATAGTGATAATGATCCTGCCAAATAGCTTAACAGACATTGTGAATTCGAACTCTTAACAGATATATTCTTGTTTACGTGAGAAAGTGAGAAAACAAAATATAGGCAAGTCTCCTTTTTTACATTGATCAAAGCAAGTTTCCTATTTACATTTATCATAAGAAAGACTTAAAACAGAAATGCAAAACTATCTGGAAACCTCCTAAATCAGAAAAGGAAAATCAACAAAACAACCTAATGTAAAAAAGGAAAAGCAACAAAACCCATACTTCCGTATCATTTATATCGAAAATATTTTATAAGTAAAAATTATGAGACTCATAAAATTTAAACGGTCAAAACTTAATTTATAAGAATACACATACAACATACAACAAGGGCTACCTTGTGTACAATTAAAAACTTCCAGGCCAAATTTGAAGAAACGGCTAAAACTAAGAGTCAACAATTGAATTTTAAAACGCAGCGTTTGGTAACTTGCGCTTCAAGGGCATCTTGCGTGTTCTACCCGCACCTGATTACAACCGAGAAAAGCTATATATATACACGTCGCCTCTGTGCTTGCATAGAAAGCAAAAAAAAACAAACAGAAGAAGAAGAGAAAGAGCTTGCAGAGAAAGCAAAAAAGAAGAAGAAGCAAAGAAAGAGAAACACAAAAGATTCAGGTTAATTTCTAGTTTCGCATCTCTGAACTTATCTGCTCATATGATCGATAACGATGGTGGTGAGTTCTGTTTACGAATTTACTGAATCCATCGCTCATCAAATTTTGAGCTAATCGTTACTTTTTTTTTTTTGAATCTCTGTTAGGAATTTGATCGAACACTTGGTGGGTGTCTTTCTTTTTAGTAATCGTCGTTTATGTTGCTTCGATTTAGCATCACAGAGTGTTTCTTATGGATGATTGATCGATTACAATTCGAATGGTGTTAGGTGATTTTGTATAAGTGGTATTGAGACTTTAGGGTTCTTGAGTTGAGACTTGGTTGGGTTAACATAACTGGTTTTGGTAGATGTAAGGTTTGCTTTGTGTCTACAGCTTTGATTGGATCATTCGTATTCATGAGATGTCTTCTTTGTGTGTTCTTTGTTACAGGAACTAATGACTTCCCAGGAAAATCAAACCGTGGAAACCCCGAAAATCGAAACCGAGAACCCGCCAAAGCCTCAAGTGCCATCATCATCATGCAGGAAGAGGGTGAACGATGATAATGCCACTTTCTTTGAGAACCTGAAGGATCACATGGGTGAATTCTTCAATGCCTCAATGGAGGAACACAAGACTTGTTTCAAAAACACCATGGACAAGGTTCTTTCTCTATTCCTCTGCAACGCTCTTGATGTTGATTTGGCATATCTTTGTTGTAGTCTTTGCAAGCAGTAGAAACGACTCTGATGTGTTTGATACATATTCAAGGATGCTTGTTCATGATTATAATGCATGATTATCTCTGTTCAATCGTATTGTGTTAATGTGTCTGTTGTTGAATGTGATAGATATTCGGGAAGAGTGATGCAGTTGCAGAGAAGCAAGCTGTGGCTAAGGAAGCGGTCGAGATTCACGCTCCTCTACAGGCAGCAGCAGTGACTAAGTAGACAGAGAGAGATTCACAGCTAGGGAGCTCAGAAGGATTTATCGAGTGTGTTATCTTTTTTCTTGTTTAACTCTAGAAAAAGTTTTTTAACTTTATATGGTCTCTGCAAAAAGTACTCGTCTAAGTATTGTGGGGTGTTAATATGCTCTTAGAACCAGCTTCTATCTCTTTTTCAATCCATTCTAAATCATATATAACCTGTTTCTATTAATCATCTATACAAAATTTTCATTTACAATATGCAAGTCTTTTTAAATCATGGGTTTTTACATAATAATTTACACACATAGAAGCAGCAAATCAATGTATCTTGCAAAACCAATTGCTTGCCATACATTGTATTTCCTATCCAAATCTGGTTAGAACACATTGAGAAAATATTATTTTCCTGTTTGCTAATAAAATTCTCTATTTATCTAGAGCCCTTTGAATAGAAAATACAATTCTTTCTCAATAGTTAAAAGCCCAACTTCGCAAAAGTTTGCTTGAAAGTCAATACAAAGTCTCAATAGCACATAACGAAAGATAAAACTAATATAAAGAATCATTGTCGTTTGAAACTTGGCAAGAACCATCGGGAACGAGATAAGCAGGGAAAGGAAGAGCAAGCAGATAGGTGGAGTTGCTGAACCTTGTTTGAATCAAGGTTGAATATGAAGATTTCGTTTTTGTCATACTTATCTTCAAAATAGGGAGTAGGATTAGAGAAGTAGATGGAATTGGTAATGATTCCTGGCATGTCCTTGGCTAGAACAGTGATACCCAAATCCAAAAGAATGGCCTCGTCTCCCAAAGAAACAAGTTTCTCCCACTTGTTGTTCCCTCCTTCCATCATCTTGTAGATACCAAAGTTCCATATTTTGGACAAACTGGGACGAATGCACTTAACGATTAAGACATGTCCGGCAAGAGTGACAACCACATTAACCTTAAAGTGAGACAACTGGTCCTTGCATGGAATCCCAGCTCGTCGTATCCCATAACCTCCAGGTAATGGTTTTAAGCACCCACTTACGCTAGTTTTGAAAACTCTGAGCGGAGTATCATCTCCAGAAAAATCCAAAATGTTGAGTTTACCATAGTTGAGACAGTAGAGCTTTTTGTCCTTGAAAACCATGCTGAAACACTCTTGCAAGGAGGTCGGGATTTGTTTCCACGACGTGTCTCCTTTCTTGAAAGAAATGGCGTAGTCTTCATCAGACATTCCGATAACAAGATAATGTTTGGTTTTCTCATCGATCCATAGAATGGGACAGGTGAGTCCAAACCCTGATTCGAAAGCCGGTAGATCGATTCTCTCGCGGGTTAGGAGATCCAGAATATACAGGTTAAACTGATGTCCCTGCATGTATTTGTATTGAGGTTGCATCAAAAGCCAGCTTCTATAAGTCGCCACACAAAAGCTCTTGGCAAAATCGTTGCCGAGATTTGGAGTTTTGTACATCTTCTTTTCTTCAGGATTGAACAAGAGACAGTAATCGTTGTCGTTGCCGCCTTTGCAAGGGAATCGAATCATCCAAGGGATTTGATTATTTGGCTGACAACTTCTGGAAACTGATAGCCAAGATGAACAAACGGATTTAGCTCGTTGGAATCCGGAAAAACCAAGGCGGTCAAATACCAATCGCAGGAGATCTGAAGGAAGCTTCGACCAGCAATGGCAATGGGGATCCGGTGGTAGCGGAGAGGCCATGGAAATCTTAACAAAGCGAGAGAGAAGCCAACAGTAGGGTGAATATATCTATCTAACTAACTACAGTAGGGTGAATATATATATCTATCTAACTAACTACAGTAGCGTGAAATATTGTATTTAAGAGAATTCCACACTAAACCAACCAATTCTCCGGTTACGAGAGCTCCTCCAACACGTCCCTCCTTCCTTCCTTCCTTCCTTCCTTCCCAGTGTTCTCTCTCTCGCAAGGTTAGGGCATCATTATATCATGATGGTCTTTAGCTCAAGAAAATCCTCAAATATGTATTGGGCCTATAGCAGCTATCTTGTGGCCCATTCTGTATTTGTAAACCATGGCCCAATTATAACCACTTTCCAGACAAATTTCTTTGTCCATCACATTTTATTATTAATAATTGGCAGCTAAAAGATAGAGAGAGAAGAAAGGCTGTGAAAAATGGTAGCAAGAGCGGTTTCAGGTCGTGCCCAGTGTGTTCTCTCAAAAGCTCCGGGAAATCTTCCTACAACATTTATGAGAAACACAAAGCATGATTAACATCCAAAGGATGTGGTTATTATTTTAAATATATTTCGATTTACACTCATACAAAGCACATGTTTTATACATATATATATCGTACGTGCTATATATATATATATATATATAAAGCTTTTATTTTTTTCTCGTTACATCAACTGTGTTTGAATTCTACTCTTTTCATAGCAAAAGCTGGTTAAGTTCATAAAATGCAATCTCTTATACTCTACCTGTTTATCATTTTTTATTCTCCAAGGTTAATATTTTCTAATAACACTGTTAGCATCGAGCTGAACATAGATATCAATAAAACAGTCGGTCTACAAAATTACCGTGAAGTCATCTGCTATGGCGAAGTTAGCATTGGAACCCCAGGCCAGTTATTTAAAACTGTGTTTGATCTGGGTAGTAGTAACTTGTGGGTGCCTTCAGCGTGGTGGCCTTATCCTGGCCATCCAAAGTTTAATGCTGCAGCCTCCACAACATTTTCGAGCGGTAATTTTCTTTTTGTCATGCTCTTCTTTCTATTCATCTATATTGCATACCTTCTAACTTTTAATTATCTCATGTATATGTAGAAGGAGAAATTGCAGAGATAAGATACCATGAGGGTGAGGTAAAGGGTGCTTTATCTCAAGAAAATGTTGAGTTTGGTGGTCTTCTACTGGAGGGTCAGGATTTTATTCAGGCAATTACGCCAAATAGTATCTTTGAAAATGTGGTGTACGATGGAATTCTAGGTTTGGGGTTTCCAAAAATGGCAGTAGCTGAAACGGTCACCGTTTTAGAGAACATGATTAAACAAAACTCCGTAACGAAAAATATTTTTTCGATTTGGTTAAGATCAACAGGTGGAACAATAACTTTTGGTGGATACAACCAGGAGCACTTCAAAGAAGAATACCATACATATGTTCCGGTGATAACAAAACCGTACAAAGATTTTTGGAAAATAAAGTTGAATTCAATTTTCATTGGTCAAAACCCAACCAAACATTGTGTTAAACCGTGCACAGCAATTATTGACTCCGGGATGACGGATACCTTAGGTCCAAAGGTAAAAGAACTAAACTTTAGTGAATATATATACGTATTAACTGTAAGTTTGTAACCTCAATTTTCATTAGTAAACTATGTTTTTCTATGTTTATAATATTTAGAATGCAATCAATGAGATTAATATAGCAATTGGAGCATTCGATAATGGAGGAATAGTTCAATGCTCCGCAGTTGCGACGTTGCCACTGATAACGTTTACCATTGGGGGGAAAAATTTTCCCCTCACCCCAAATGAGGTAATCATGTTTATCTTTTATTTTTTGGTTCATTTTTGTTATGTTCATTGCTTTTTTTCCATGACAAGTTTACAACTCTTTTGTAAATTAGTACATTGCCGAGGATGAAGGTGTATGTTTTACTAGATTTGCGAGCACTACTGGTGGGCGCTGGTAAGTTCTACTCTTTTTTTTTCGTTAAAAAAGTTCTTAACTTTGTTGCATTACAAGTATTGTTTTTACGCAAGTCTCTAAAATGGATTGGCATATAGGTTTCTCGGATTAGCTTTTTTGCGAGTTTACCACACTGTTTTTGATTTTCAAGACTTCAAGAATCCTCGGATAGGCTTTGCTACTGCAGTAGCATAAAGAAGAAACACATATTTGTTTCTTATGATAATATATATATATATATATATATTGATGCTAATAGCAAAAATAAAATAATACTAATAAATATGAATTGTAAGGTTGTTATGTTAATGGAATACAAACACTTCAATATGTTACATGTATTTTATTTTTATGTTTTGTGGACTGCATAAGAACTAACTCTTTCCAGCAGAGTGCCTGATAACGCTTGAGAGACGTGTACAACTTATTTTTTTTGGGAAAATTTGCTATATAGTACGTTTTATTACCCATTCCTAAATTATCTATTAAGTTAGTCATGCCAAAATTATGGATTTGGTTTCTTCTACCGACCTCTCTCTCGATCACTCTTAAAGAGAATTTTTACCAGTAAAGTATCTTGCAAAATAGAGACCATATATTACTTGCCATATTAATTATAAGAAATTAACATTATGAACAATGACTTGAATAATACTACGTTGCAAGTTGCAAATGTATGGATATTAATTATAAGAAATTAACATTATGAACAATGACTTAAATAATACTACGTTGCAATTTGCAAATTTATGGATATTAATTATAAGAAATTAACATTCTGAACAATGACTTGGATAATACTACGTTGCAATTTGCAAATTTATGGATGGGTTTGGTTTGTTTATGATTAGAAACTATCTTAGCTGCAATTTGCAGATATTTTTAATTTATCCAATTTCGAATAGAATGCTACTTTAATTCAATGTTTTTGGAGGAATTGTGAATAAAATTATCTATTTATCAAGAAACACACTTATTTACACACAAAAAAAAAAAAAAAAAATCTCCTTCAATAATAAATTTTTACTTGTTCCTCTTTTCTACTTTTCCGATCCCTCAACCATAAAGTTTTTACTTGTTCATCACCAGATTTTTTACTTTTCCCTCGAGAATTTTTTACTTGTCCACACAAGATTTTTACTTTACCCTCAAGAATAATTTGTATTTTCCTTCTGAGTTTAACATGTTGAGAAAAGATAAAATTATATCTAAAATTATGGGCTTTTACAGTTTTTACTGACACCTTAATTTATACTACTTTTAAAGAAAAATAAAAATTATTGTATTCTTCCAAATAAATAGAAAAGAGCAGCATACGGTGAGAACATATATGCACGTACTCGTATACCGTTCGTGGGCACAAAATTCGTATCCGTACAGTACAATACTATACCAAAAAAAAAAAAAAAAAAAATTGTTATATATCGATGTTAGTGAATTCTTCTCTCGGTCCCGTGACATGATATCTAGATTCCCCCATAAACAGTAGTGTGTCACCAATTATCTCATATCTCTCAATTGAATAATCTCAAAAACTTTTCAACATTTCGAAGAACCCTAATAACAGATTGGTTGATTCGTTTATTTCGAGACCTTTCTTCTTGTCTCATTCTCCTATCCTTTTGCATTATTGGATTGAATCTTCATTATAGTATTAACTCTAATCTAATATTTTAAAATTTGACTTTGGATTTTTCTATTTCGAACCAAGCACCATATAGATTTGCTTCGATAGGTTCGTTGATTTCGAGGTTTTGTGTTTTACTGATCCGTGACCAAATGATTCGTTATATAAGCATAATATATAATTAATGATAATATGATCAACATTTTAATTGATTCTTCAGACATTGGTTTTTTTTTCATTAAAGAAGAACCCTAAAATATAATACAGATTGCTTTACTTCCAAGCTTCGTGAAAATAACAATTAAAAACATTAATTGAAAAAACAAAACATACACACATCTCTCTCTGCGTTGGTTCTCTTTTATTTTATTACGTAGTAGTTTTAGGTTCTTTTGGTTTGCTTCTTCTTCTTCTTTCACTGAAGCTTCATGCTTCTCATCCTGCAACCAAAACAAAAATAATAATGCTAATTAATTAACAGACTTAAAATCTTGATTGTTTAATTTTGTTTAAATTTTTGCATGTCAAACAAAGTAAAATGATTCTATCATTGTGATGAGGATTTTGTTTTTGGAAGTTTCTTGGGCGGCAAGATTTGGGAATTTTGTTTGTGTGTGTGCATGGAATGATTCTATTTATAGGCATATGTTTTTTGTGGGAGCTTTTAGTTTGGCTTTGATAAACTCTGAAGAACACTGAGAAGAGAACACTTGGCTTATCTAGAGCCTCTCATAACTTAATATGATGGAGAGAAGTCAATAGAATCTTTGTAAAGTATAACAAGCTTTATGCTGAAATAGACATGTTCCTTTTTTGTGTTAAATTGTCATATAGCATAGGAATAGAACTTGTCTATAGAAGTATCTTATAGTGGGGATACTATTATAGATAAACTAAGCTGATTAGTTGTAATGATTAGTATAATACCTCTTTTCCTCATCACGCAGCCTGCCTCTGTTGGTAGCACCAGTAGTCTTGTAGTCAGGGAAAGGCACGTGACCGTTCTCGATGCTTTCGATGTCACGCACGAGAAGGTCATACTGTCTCTTAGCTTCTTCGGGTGTCTTGCCACCAACGGCTCTAGCAACATTGTACCAACGGTCAGGAGTGTCTTGGTCGTAGACAGCTAGAGCACGCTCAAAGGCTTTGTTCTGCTTAACAGTCCACGAGCCTGATGAGCCATAAGAAGACATTGAGCCTGAGGCCATTGTGTGTGAGTATTAAAGTTGTGTAAGAGATTCTGAGGAAATGATAGATGTGTAGTGTTGTATTGCACAGATGTCGTGGAGTCCTTTGCTCTTTATAAAGAGATTGAGGTGGGAAGAGGGTAGGGCCAGTTTTGTAAGTCTTTGTCTCTATAGCTAGAAAAGAATATCTAAGAGCAAACACAATTTGTGGAGATGAGTATCAAAGATCCAAAAACTAATCACCCAAAGATTGCGTTTCTCCATCCACATTTGGCATATGATGCTCACTTTTCTATAAATGTTATAACTAATATGTTTACTTTTCTTTCCCAATTAGTGTGGTTCTTGACGTCATTCTCTAGATTAAGCTTGTTATCAGAAGAAACAGTTTTAGGTAATATAAATATATAAAAAAAAGTTAGGCCAATGGTATTAAGTCATGCATGGAACAGTACTGGTCTCTAATCACAGCACAAAGCTCACGTGCTCGCGGAACTAATAAGAAAAGTTATGTCTTTGGATTAATAAAAGTTAGGGACAAGTCTATTTTCACATTTGACTATTGAGATTTCGATCTTATCAAAAATCTCATGTGATTATGAAACATTTGTGAATATTAATTTGTATCCACAAACAAAACAAAAAAGCTAGAGAGCTATAGCTTTATCGTGTGTTCACCATGAACCATATATTCTCTTGTAGAAGGATTTAGTGGGAACAAAGCTTTTAACCATGGGATTCTCTGACATATCAAATTATCTAGCTGTAGTATTAGATTGATCTTTCCGTACGGTCATCGACATTTTTGTTGTTGAACATAAAAAGGTCAACATTGTTTACCTACCTTTGTTTTTTTTTCCTTGGCATGTTGGGTCTACCTCCCTTGAAATTAGGCAACTATAATATGGATTCTTGGTGGTTAAATTTGTTAAATAGTCACTTTTCTTGGTGCACATTCATATTGTTTTTTTTGTTCTCTCTTCTTTGGTTGTTTGAATGATTGAACATGGGGAAGAACCAAAGATTTTTAGAGCTGTCTTAGTCTTTGCTGTGATTTTATTGTTGTTGGTGTGGTGGTGGTGGTGAGATTGTACCCACTCTTTAAGATAGCCCATGATTTGATATTCACATGTTATGATGGTTTCTTTGTCGTATTATATCATCACTTATGTTTCAAATGATCAACTAATTACCTTGTTTGGTAAGAATCCAGGGTTGGGATGGGCAAATAGATTATTGTCCTGTAACCAAATTAGGCTGCTAAAATAATGCACAGTAGGAGTATATACATACTTGGCAAAAAGACAACAAACATAAAATGGTCCACTTGTTGTTTGATTCTAACTTTCGTTTCATATAGTTTTCTTTAAAGATTTCAAGATTTTCTTGTCCTGCAATAAAAGGTTTGTTCATTAGTGATCCACTTGTTGTTTGATTTTACTCATGATAAAGTTGACTCATTGATTTTAAAAGTCTCAAGATTTTCCTCTCTTGGAAACACAGGTGAATTCAAGGTGCTTTGGGGGAGATGGAAGACCATACTCATAGTCTTATATCACTAAGGTAAGTTATCAAAACACCCCCCAAGTATAGTATATAAAGTTAGTGTCTACACATTTTGTAAAGCAAAAGCTGTTTTAAGAACCATACTTCTTGGATCTTTCTTGATTATAGTGTTTATCCATTCACTAAACGGTATTAGCTTTGCAAAGCAAGATGATATATATTCACTTACGTGTAGAGAGTCTTATGATACTTTAATCTACTCTCTTGCTAGATACATTTATGCCAATATAAGCACTTATATAAGATATTTTCTTTTAGCGATCCAAATGATCTCAAATTCTAGATATTATTATTCCTATGGATGGTTCTGTTTCTGAGATGTCATGGTTTTGATTTTCAAGGTAGGGGCGAAACTTCTTCTCAAGAAGGAAAACTTTAAACAGAGAAAGAATCATAATAATTTTGAGTCTTTTGGCACAATATATCCTAGAGATAATAGATTGCAAGTTGCCATAAAATTCTGCTAGTAGACATTGCACTACCGATATTCTCATCGTCATGATTCTTGAAAACCGACCCTCTTTGCCTAGGTATTGAAATGGTAAAACTTTCCCCACCTTTAGGTAAGTCTTGGTAAAATCTTTAGCTGTGAAAAGGGTAATCTTGAGTTCATCATAAGATTAATTGGTTGTTTATTAGTTATAAGAAGATGCTTTGGTTTTTACTTTCTCACTATGATGGTAACATCAGTAAAGGCTTAATGGTTTGATTCCAATATATACAGGTCTTGATTCTAGCCATCATTGATGAGAATTTTACCAGGAGTAGCTTACAAGGAATCTGAATGAAAAAGGAAGGTAAAGAGTAAAGCATTATATATTTTTGCATGTTACATAATTTTCTGTTGATATTTAGAATCCTTATCCCTAATGATATAGCAAGAAAACAAGAAGTAAGTATTCTGATTCCTCTCCTAGTGGCTTTGCTCCTTTTGCAACTTGGGAGAAGAACCCGAACCTGAAGTTGATCACTATAATGGAAGTTTCTGTAGCTCAATATGTATTTGAAGGATTTTTATTGGGGCTAGTGGTGAGATATTATTATCACCAAAAGAATGATCCTTTTTACAAATTTGGATTCGGACAAACTTTACACAAAAGTAGGAAATGGCATTTTATCACCAGGAATCCATAAGAGCCATTCCCATTTGAGGGAAGAAAAAAGTATCCACAGACACACACACAAGCCCTGGTCCTAAATCAGCCAAAGTATAGCCTATAACAGTAGCTAGAGATACTTCTTTATTTTTATTTTTTGGTTGTTTCTTGGAATATTATTTGAGTAAATTAAAGAACTAAGTAAAATGGGGAATCTCCATGGTCAGGGGTTTTGATTGGTTGATGAGAATGAGATCGAATATACAAGGACACAAATATTTATATACAATGCTTATGTAAATCTTTTGAGACAGGGTAAATGGAAACTAGTATTATTCATATAACTTGTTGTTCAGGTGATGAACTTTCTAGCTAGAATAACTTGTTTCTGTTGCTCAACTAAAAAGCTTGTGTTCTTTTCTTCGTTTACAATACTTTTGAATTGTGTCTCTGATCATATACTAAACAAGATCTTAAACTCATTACTACAGCTACAAGATATATAAGTTGTGATTGAAAATAAAGAAAACATTAGGACAACAAAGGACTGAAGTAGCTATATATATATATATTTATGTAGTTAACTATACGTCTTTGGTAATATTATAACAACCATTTGGGTGATTCCGTAATGAGCAACCATTATCAAAGGCTATAATGTATATATATTTTGATTCATATATACAATCCTAGACGAGTAAACGGCCGGGTCACGAGTGGTAGCCAAACCAAGACGATCAGTAAGGTCACAATCACCAAACAATGGACAAAGATTTATAATGTATATGAAAAAAATGTGAATTATAATCTATTGAGTTACTAGTTTTGCATCTCCTTTGTGAATTCATATAAAAGGTTTTCATTTTGTGAATTCATAATACTTTAGATTAATTTTTTATTTTTTTCTTTTTGGGTCAACAGCTAGTATAATTAAGACAGATCATAATGAAATTTAGATAGTTAACTATAATTCATGTTCATTTCTAACAAGGGACAAGAGGTTTTACAATTGTATGCTTTTTCTTCATAGTTTCTTCGCACACTTCATTCGAATACAAATAGTTCAATATCCACCACTCATGTCAAATGACGAGTATGAAGCGGCGTTTATCATAAATATTCAAAAAAGGAAAAAAAAAAAATTGAAAATCTTAACAAATGCAATAAAGAGAGAGGAGGATGTTTACCAAAATGCGATAAACTTAACAAAGTGCTTCAACGGATTGTTGTGCTTTGATAGTGAATGCCGGAAAGATTTGTCTCTTTGTGTTTATGGTTTTCATTTTTTCAAACCTAATCATTTCCAACCTTAATAGTTCGAAAAGAGCTAATTAATGGAACATATGTTCCTAACGACTCTTTCACCATTTTTCTGGTTATAAAATGTAAACAGAAAATAAATTTTGATTTGATGTTTCATGTTTTGATTTGTTGTCACATCTCTAAGAAACCCGGTTCACGCAAAATCTCGTCGAAATTCGGTTTAATTCGCACATAAGAGTTCTTCGCTATCCAAAAATCGAGAACCAACCCGACCCGAACCAAAACTTCTATTTCTTGTTATTCCGACAGCTTCTCTCCCAACACGAAAATCCAACTAACCAAAAATACTCAACCAGTTTAACATGATCAACTCGTAACTGCAAGCATATAACTGGGACATGCCTAGGCAGCTAGCTAGCATATAACTAGGAGCAACAGGTTTAGGCTCTTGCAGTTACAATACCATATGTGCTAAGATGATTATGGATTTAAGTTAATTCCAGGCTTCTAATTGGGCCTTCATTTGGGTATTTGCAAGGATAACTAGATCTTGTAAAAATACAAGAGATTGTACCAAGGGTCCATTCTCTGAACTAGGGAAAAGTCATATCTCTACAGCATTGGCAATAGAATAGAAACATAAAGCTATGGTTCTGGTTTTTTATTTGGTCGATTAAGCAGAGTTTTGATTGATGTAATGTTTCTCTAGGCCAAGCTAATCTCGTAATAAGATAATAATAGAAGAAATAAATAACACAATAAGATAAATCTCGACGAGAAAATTTTTGTTATTTAGAGAACCAAACAGTGACTTAACATTGCGTTTCCAGATACCAAAATACCTAAATCACGAACTGTTACATCAAAATCTAAGCAGAGAGCAGAAGAAGCAGAAACCGAAACACACGATAGAACCCAAACCAAAGCATCAGAACCATAGCGAAAAAGAAAGAGACGACATTTGATAATTCCCAATCTAATTAAGGGAATTACCATCCACCGCTTCCACCTCCGTATCCGCCTCCATCACCACCACCACCGTATCCTCCTCCTCCTTCACGTCTTCCACCACTGCTGTATCCTCCGCCGCCACCTCCTCTCGAGTAACCACCTCCGCCGCCACCACCGCTGTATCCTCCCTCGCGTCTTCCACCGCCGTATCCACCGCCTCCTCCGTTGTAACCACCACCACCTCCTCCGCTGCGGTATCCACCGCCACCTCCTCCTCCACGGCTGCCTCCGCCACCGCTTCCTCGTGATTGAGCCTCGTTGACGGTGATGTTACGTCCATCGAGCTCTTGTCCGTTCATTCCTTCAATCGCATCCTTCATTGATTTCTCATCCTTGAAGGTCACGAATCCGAATCCCCTTGACCTTCCGGTCTCACGGTCGTTGATGATCTGTTCAACCACAGAGAAAACAAATCAAATCAGCAACACAATCTAACGAAGTTGAACAAACGCAATAGATCTACAAGCGAAACTAAAAAAAAAAAAAAACCGATCGATCTCCGGGCTCACAGAAGCAGGAAGATGAACGTACCGATTTAGGGAAAAACAAGTAACAGTAGTAGTAGAAGTAACAAAGAATAGTAACAGAGTAATCGAATCAAGTAACAGAGAAACACAAGATCGGAACAGATCCGTCGAGGATGAGATCATCGAAATCACTCGGAGTCCGATCTCTGCGTGTAACAGACCTTGGAATCAACAACGTCGCCGTACTGAGCGAAGGCAGTCTCGAGAGCTTGGTCATTGGTGGCCCAGGCTAGACCTCCAACGAAGCACCGGTACTCAACATCAGAGGACGCCATTGAAAAGGAGAAGAAGATCTAGGGTTAACAGTAAAGAGGAGAAGTAAAGTGAGGGTTGTGAAGAACGAAGAAGACGAAGTCTCCAATTTATAACGGCGGAGGCTTGAGATATTATTAACCCAAGGGTCAAGATATTTTCTAGGGTTTTGTGAAGATTGGTCTAACCATGGTTAAATGTGTGGTTTATTTTTTTAAAAAAAAAATCGTAGTGGTTGAGGAAACATATCACGTGACACTTTTTTGGTTTTAATGCGCAAATTGGGATAGACGAGGACGACCATGCGGGAAAAGATATTTTTTCTTTGTCCCAAGGAAAAAAAATATCTCAGTGGCCGAAAAAATATCTCATGTACTTAAATGACATATATACCCCCGTAATTGTCGCAAGTTGGATATCCCATGATTGATCTGTTACACTGGGCCGGAACAATTGGGCTTGTATAATGGAGCCGGCATTATTGGGCTTGTTAACTGGCCTGGCCAGAAAAATAATGGTGAAAAAAATGGAAATGTTGACAGTGGGATTTGAACCCACGCCCTTTCGGACCAGAACCTTAATCTGGCGCCTTAGACCAACTCGGCCATATCAACTATCTTGTTTGTGAATCATGTGATATAATTGATATCATTAATGTCATAAGCGAATTGTTTGTTATATTACATAGTGAGAATGTCAGACGTTTAATAATGGAATCGGGAACGACATGATGATAATGTGTGCGTCTTATTAGTGATTTTTAAAACAAAAAAAGAAAGATTTGAAATCATTTAGCCGATTTCCAAGATTACATTGATACAATTTACAAAACAAAAATAATTAATGATTACGACTAAATCAATATAAAAACAAATATATAGAACTCGAGAACCCTAAACATTGTTCTCTTTATACAAAAAAGGCTTGGTAAAACCCTCAACAGACGATAGTAGCAAATAGAAGTCGAAAAGTCATGGCACCGAAGCAGCCCGAGAATGTTCCCATGGTGACTTCATCTGAAGATGATGAGGAAGAGTCTGGTTCTGTCCAAAACAAATCTGATTCTTCTAGTGGTGAAGAGTCCGACTCTTCTTCTGATGAGGAATCCCAACCGGTTGTGTCACCAAAGAAAGATGAAAAGACTCCGGTTAAAACAAGTGTTGTGAGCAAGCCTTCTAGTTCCAAGACAACCACCAAACCGACTCATGTGGTTAGCTCTCTGGTGAAGACTGATGAAAAGCCAAAGCAGAATCTGTTTGCTAGGATCTTCAGCGAAGAAGATGAAGTTGTTTTGCTTAAAGGAATCATTGACTTCACTGGTAAGAATGGAAACCCTACTGAGAATATGGATGTTTTTTACGAATATGTTAAAAAGTCCATTAGTTTCAATGTTACGAAAGATCAGCTAGTCACCAAAGTCCGTAACTTGAAGAGAAAGTTTGATGAAAAGATTCTCAAGTCTCTTGATAAGGGAATAACTGAAGAAGACCAGATCGTGTTTTCGAAAGCTTTTGACAAGAGGTGTTTTGATTTGTCGAGAAAGATTTGGGGCATTGACGGTGTTTTGCCTTCCAAGTCAAAGAAGGTGCGCCAAGAAGAGCTTGGAAAGAGGGTTAAAGATGAAGAAGATGAAAAGCCAGAGAGACATGTCATAAGCAGCTCTTCGTTATCTTTTGGTCAAGAGTACGTCTCTTTCTTTAAGGCTGAGAATCCTACTTGTGTTTTTGATGAAGCTGAATGGATCGCCATTTTGGATGATCTCAAAGATGGACCAGAGAAGAGAAAGTGGGAAGCAAAATTGAAGAAGACTAAGGCTTTGAAAGAGGGGATTGTTATGGCTAAGCTTGATTTTGCGACTTTTGTAACCAAAGCGATCTTCAAACAAGACTGAATCCGCTTTTGGTAAGTAGGTGAAACATCTGGTTTGGTATGTTGGTGAAAATGGTGTTTTTACCATTTTTAGTTTTCATTTTGCGGCTTTTAGTGTTTTGGTAACATTTTGAACTTGGTTGTTTGGCTTTTAAGACCTTTGTCTATGGTCCATTTTAGCTTTTCTGTCGTATGTTTTGTGTTTGCCCAATTCTTGGATGTATGATTGGGTTCAAGGCCCCTTTCTTTTTATGTGAACTGAGATTTTATGTTTTCTGATTATCTTGGAATGGCCTTTAAACACTCGATTCATTAGACTAGTTTTTGTTCTAAACACATTGCGGCATAGTATATCGTTTGAAAGCCACAAGTTCCATCTGTAGAAAGACTCTCACAAATAGAAAAAAGAAAGTGAAACGAAATTGCTGCTTTCCAAAACAACTAAAGTAAATACATATCTTGTTATGTGAGTAACCTCTTGGTCTTGGATGCTTTCATTCTGTGGTCTTGCTTTTTCCTGAGGACTTAACTCATTTAAGAGGCTAAACTCAATCACATAGTTTTGAAGTTTACATAAACTAGGAAATGATAGTAGCAAGAAGATATTATTCTGCATAATCGATTTGATCTCACACTTGACTATTTTTATTAACTTTGACGCCATTGTGCATCAGCAGGACCACAAAGTGATGCCAATAGTGTAACAATATTATGGTGTAAATTTATTTTTCCTGCAATATTGTAGTCTGTCGGATCTTCTGATGCAAATTTAGTTATGCAAAAGAAACACAACCAGACGACCATGTAATGATGGTATCTCTGCCTATATATGGTAAAGCATTCTTAGTTATCTAAGTTAACTTATCAGCTTTATTCGTCACTGATCTTGAGTTGATGATGACTCATACACACACCCAATTTATTTAACAAAATGTTTTATACAATCGGTCTAGTTTTCTGCTATGTCTTGGTTATGAAGTTGCAGTGACATGGTCTCACTGTTGGCTGTTGCAAGTTATTTCTTTTGGATTCATATTCCTCTGCAAATGATCATGTTCAGATATAACAAGACCCTATGAAGTCATGTTAACTGGTGAAAATGAGTAATCAAAGTCAGATATAAGATATTGAACGTGTAAGACTCGAAACAGAACAAAAGTAACAGAGGATATATGCAGAACACATGCCATTTTAGTTAGCTATGTTTTCTTTAAGGTTTTTGTGAATGTTTGGATTCAGGTTCTTGTGCAAAGTGCTCACAATCAGGCATTACATGACACAAATATGCTTCCATGGACCATTATATATGAGCAAATATGAAATCTTGGTGTAGGGATGTGTAGATGAACAAACCGGTTTTAGTGTATTTTCTTTTTATGTATTGGAACAAAGATTTAAGTAGAATAAAAAATGTTTCTTTATAAAACAAGTTATAAATTATGGTTCCGTATAAAAATGGGAAAAATGTTATTTAAATCCCGAACTTACACATTTTGGACATTTTAATCCTCGATTTTCACTGTTGCCATTAATATCATAGAATTCTCGTTAGCGTTATTTTTAAATTACTATCTTCTGTTAACTGAGCTAGATTGAGCATGCCGTCAAATCAAATTCTCTAATAGACGAGTTAACAGCCGTTGTGGATCGTTAATCAATCTCTTTTAAGTCGAAAAATGAGAATCACAAGGACAAACGACGTCGTGCTGCCTTAAACGAAATGCCTAAATTCTCAAATCGACGTCGTTTGTCCTTGTGATTATCATTCTTCGACTTAACAGAGATTGATTAACGATCCTAAACGGTTGTTGACTTTTCTGTTAGAGAATTTTATTTGATGACATGTTCAATCTAGCTCAGTCAACAGAAGATAGTGATTTAAAAATAACGTTAACGAGAAGTCTATGATTTTAATGGCCATAGTAAAAGTCGAGGATTAAAATGGCCAAAATGTGTAAGTTCAGGATTTAAATAACATTTTTCCCGTATAAAAATACACTTACTATACAAATTTTAGTCATTTCGCATGTAATTGACTTCTTACGGCTATGGTTGTAATATCTGAAACTTCCGACGACGATGGCTCTTGTGGTGACGTTCATCTTCATCAGAACAAGAAACGTAAAGAAGAAGAGAATCGAAACAAGAAACGTAAAGAAAAGGTCAAGGTGTCATATACTACTCTACCACTTCCAGACGATCTCATCCTAAGATGCTTCTTACTCGTTCAGAGATGTCACCACTCATCGCTCTCCCTCGTCTGCAGTTCCTTCCTTCATCTCATGCCAAAGCTCTACAACGATCGCTTGCGTCTTGGCTACACTGAAAGCGTTCTTTATGCCTACATTGGATTCCCTCCTCTTGAAAACCCTAGCTGGCACATTCTCAATCCTAAACCCTGTCGAAACTTGTCAAACACGGTATCTTTAAGATTGTGCAGAGTCGATATACTCCCTCCCATGCCTTGGGGATCTGCTATTGTCACTATCGGATCGGATATCTATGTGATAGGTGGACGCGTAGGCGGCAAGAAACGAATCTTGGATATGACTCTCATCGACTGCAAATTTCACAAGCATCGCTCGCTCCCGAGAATGAAGGTGGCTCGCTGCCGTGCAGCCGCAGGTGTAATGGACGGAAAGATTTATGTGATCGGAGGTTGCAAGGTACGACCTTCAGATTGGGTTGAAGTCTTCGATATAGAGAAACAGAGTTGGAGTTCTGTTCCTGGTCCGTACCCTAATGTGTATATGAGTGGAGAGTTTCTGACATATGCGGTAATGAAGGAGAAGATTTACTGTTTGGATATTTACTCCACTGCTCTTGTTTACGATCCCAAGAGAGGTAAATGGGACTCTGAACCTGGATTGTTGAATGTTCTGTGGAATGAGTCGTACTGTGTGATTGATCATTTGCTGTTTTCCATCAATCCAATATTGCATTTCAATGGAGATGATCCAATAAACATATATGATTCAGAGCACAAGACTTGGTTCCCCTTGAAGGGTTTACAAGGTTTTCCAGATAATATCCTTCGCGATGAGTGTAAAATGGCTAGTTTTGGTGACAAGTTGGTGGTTTTGGGAGCTGACGGCAAGAAAAGAGAGATTTGGTGCGTAGAGATTGCTTGGCAAAGAAAGGAAGATGGTACATTTTGGGGGAAGGTCGAATCAGTCGCGGTTGTGCTGACACCACCAAAGACGTCTTCTGTTTACCTTTGCCGAACTGTTTCGGTTTGATATGATTGATCCATGGGATGGTTTCTTGCATGTACTGCTTCTGAATTCAGATGTTTAGGCTTTTGTGGATCTAGCTTCAAGTCTTAGTTAGGTTTTACATGAAACTTGCTAACAAAGATGAAGCAGAGTGGCTAATAAGAAGCTGTTATCTGAAGCCTTGAGAGTAACCATTTTGTACAGTTTTATCCTTGTTAGCCTTGTTTAGAACTTTTAAGCTGTAAAAGAGTGTTTACGCCATTCTACTGAGTTTTGATTAATCTTCATACAAATTCTAGGAATATTGAAATACATCTGCGTTTAGCTATATATATCTATTTGGTTATCTGTGCAGTCTCACTATTGCAAGTTTTATGCGTTTATTCCTTTGGATATATATGCAAGTGATCACAAACATACATAACAGAGCCCAATCTGTTTCTACTATATGCAGATATTAAATCTTGGTTTAGGGATCTATAGATGAACAAACCGGTGGTTTTTGTGACATTATACAAGTGTATCAAATTGATAAAATATAAAGATTACTTGATACAAAGCAAAACTCTGCAACCTGTATCTATCTACAAACAAGATGATGAGAACTGACTGTGAACTAGTGTCAATGCTATCTTATAATCTTCTGTTCAGTACGTTTAAGGTTTATTATATTCTTAGTAAAAAGAAGGGTTATAAATAGTAATCTCACGACACATCAGTCTTTTGTTTTGGATAAAAACTTGAACCAGCATGTCTCGCTTGCTCCCAAGAATGCCTATATCGCGCTTCGATGCAGGCGTAGAGATCTCTATAGAGAAACGGGGAAGAGATGAGATTTGGGGGAAGGTTGAATCAGTTGCGGTTGTGCTTACGTTATAACGTCTCTCCTTCCATTGAGCTTTATCGAACTGTTACAGTTTGATGAAACATGCATGCAGATGCAGGTATGTGTCTGTCTGTGATAACTCTGTTTTACTTCTTTGATCTTTTGTCTCTAGCTTCAAAGGCTTATAGTTAGATTTTCATGAAACTTGCAGGTGAAGGATATTTATCAACACATCTACTGTTTGAGCAGCTTCTCGGTCTGATAACAGCTTGTTATCCAAAGGCTCAAGAGTAAACGTTTTTGCACAATGTGAATTGGTCTTCTATAGAACTCTTAAGCTGTAAATTTGTTGAAAGGCAACTTTAGTTAGCCACTTTTTTGAGTGTTTTGTGCAGTAACATATTAGTATCAGTTAAGTTTCTTTCGTTGGTATGTTTCTTGATATAGAATTCCTCTGAAAGTAATTACAAATCAGATATATATTGGAAGTGTAAGAATCAAAACAGAAGACAAGAAACAAAGGATATGTGAAGAAGATGAAGACAAACACATGCATCTTAAGTTAGCTGTAAAAAGGGTTAGGCCATTCTATTAGCCTTTATACAACATTCTTACCAAATTTGATGAAATGCATCTTTGGCTCTAGCCTATTTGTTTTGGATGGAGATTGTGGAAGTTTGCTTTTGGATTTAAGGTTCATTTGCAAGTATGAAATATTGACTCTTATCCTTTTGCTGTGAATTTCTTATAGATATTGCAACAACATTACATGATCATGCTCATGCTCATCATAGCTTATATTCTTCTATAGGATGGCAAATGAAATCTTTGTTCCAGAGTTGTAAAGAAGGTCTGGGAGCAAAATAACCAACTTTAAAAAGATATGATTCTACATAACATTTATCATCATCCTCTCATATTAATCCGGCCATCTGCTTCTTCTCCTTTTCTTGTATCATCCTTACAAACTCTTGTACAAACTCATCAGATCTGGATAGTCTGCGTGGCCGTGCCACTTTCACAGTGAAGGAACGTACAATAACACATCTGGTGCAAGACTCTTCCACGTTGATTTGAGAACCGTCGATCTCATCACCGTTCTTAAACAGTATTGCACCTTCCAATGATTTCTCGTCTTTGAAAGTAACAAAACCAAATCCTCGAGAACTTCCTGTCTCCTTATCATAAATTACATGTATAGTATATGCAAAGTTGATATCAAAACATAATATTAACATAACAAATCCGAATGTTAACTTCCTGTTCATTTCTTTAATGGCATCTCTCATGGATCTCTTCCTCCTCGAATGTAACAAATCCGAATCTTCTTGATTTTCCAGTCACATGATGGTAAATAACCTGTGAAATAAAAGAAAAACATATTACATAATTAATTACTAATCAAGTAATCCATACGTCAATCTTTAAGGCAAATACTATTTATAACGGACTTGTGAATTGTTAACGTTGCCAAACTTTGAAAAGATCTTCTTTAGATCATCCTCACTAGTGTCATGATCAAGACCACCAACAAAGCAAGTGAATCCAAATCTGTTGAAGCCATTTGAAAGAGGTACGTACGTTTGAGTATGGTGGAATCTCACTTATGAGAAGTTCAATGAATTTATAGAAAAGGTGAGAGGATGAAAGGTTTTCAATTTTTATTTACTTATAAATTAATCATGCATGCTGCATGCATGTCGTAAAATTAAATGTGTTTTTTTTTTTTGGAATTAGTTTTTCCTTGACACTTTTCGTTTAAACACTTAAATATTTTAGTAACTTGTGTTTCTGTGTTTTGGAACTAATGAAACCAATAAATACACCTACCACCTAAATATATCATCATACTAGTGTTAAATATTTTTGTTTTATAAGAGTAATTTTTTTTGTTTTTTTTTCAGAATGATAATTTAATGCTGAATACATTTTTCAGACGATCTTTTTCACTAATACATTTTGATTTTGTTTTTTGTTTCGTTCAAATAAAAATGGAAGCAAGTGAAGTGCACAACTTGAGACCATAAATTAAAATAAGGCCCAGCCCAAAGGCCCCAAACAATTCATTAATATAAAAGAAATAACAAAAAACAAAACTATAGGTTCTACCGAGAATTGAACTCGGGTTACTGGATTCAGAGTCCAATGTCCTAACCGCTAGACCATAGAACCATTTGTTACTTCTTACACATATCATATATTTATACTGCATCACCATCTTCTCCGAGCCGTTGCTTTATCTCTTTTTCATTTACTTCACCGTTCTCTCTGTAATCTCAGTTCTTCTTCTCCGACCTGCTCTAATGCTTCTCCACTGTAACGTTAGCTACTCCACCTCATCGTTTTCACTCATCTCCTCCTCTCTCCGCCGTCAAGACCATCCCGACCAATCACAAGATATAGTAATCCGGCGCCGGCACAATGCTAGATCCCTTTCTCTTTACATCCGCCATAATCGAGACTTAAAGCTTAACAAAGACAATCCTAACGAATCTCAAGAAACCTTTGTACCTCCTCCGCGGCATGATGTTGACGGCGATGATCGATCGAAGCTACTCGAGCTTTCTCTTGTAACCAGAAGAACTCCACAGTTCCCTGGTTCAATCTACGCTCAATCTGCTTCTGATGCTGATGTTGCTTCCTCTCTTCCTTCGCTTCGTAAATTTCTCGGGTCTGATGGTGATGACGACGGAGATAGCGAGAGAGAGATGATTGTTAAGGCGCTTGAGATTAGGAGGAAAGTGACGAAAGAGATTATCAAAGAGTCTTTGGTTAGGAAAGGCAGATTTGGGATTACTTATGCGACTAATGTCACTGATCGTTTGGGTAATTTCGTTGATCATGTGATGATCGAAGCTGCGGCGATGAAGCGGTTGCCGGAATTTTCAGAGTCCAGGTTCAATCTTCGCGCCAGGACTGTTATAGAAGACTCCAATTTCGTGCCTCTTGTAAGGTCAAGCTTCCTTTTTTTTTTGTGTTGCTTGGTTGTGTTTATTAGTGCCCATAAGGTGTTCGATGGTTTGCCTCTGAGAAAAAACTAATTAGTTTATCGATAATTTGAGCATATTGAAGATTAACTTAGATTGAACAATGTGGAATTGTATGTGAAATCCTATGGTTTATCCTTGGTGCCGAGACGTTGAACTAGCTATTAATGGTTTCTTGAGTTACAATGTAGTTGGGTCGATTTTGGGAGTTTGAAATGTGTAAAGTTTCATTATGGTTCTGAATTGTGCAGGTGGTTGAAGCACAATGAATTTTCATATAATAGAATTGCGAAGATTATATGTATGTCAAAAGGAAACCTTGACTCCATAAGGACCATGATCGAATGGCTGAAGACCATTCATGTGAAGAGTGAATTCATAGGAGTTGCATTCTTGAGATCTGGGGGCAACATCTTGCAACGTAGTCGTGAAGAACTAGACGATATTGTTGAGTATTTAGAGAGCAATGGTCTCAGGAGGGATTGGATGGGATTTGTGGTTGGAAGATGTCCAGAGTTACTGTCTTTCAGCATGGAAGAAGTGAAACGCCGTGTTAATTTCTTCTTGCAAATGGGTATGAATCAGAATGACTTTGGCACGATGGTCTTCGATTATCCAAAGATAATTGGGTACTTTTCATTCGAAGAGATGGAGAAAAAGGTACTGAAAGTTTTGATCCGCCAATGTTAGGGATTGTCTTTTGAATTCATATAAATGTGTTGCTTGTCTTAAACCAGATCAATTACCTGAAAGAGTTTGGCCTTAGCACAGAAGAAGTTGGGAGACTATTAGCCTTCAAGCCACACATCATGGGATGCAGTATTGAAGAACGATGGAAGCCTCTAGTCAAATATTTCTACTACCTTGGAATCTCCAAAGAAGGAATGAGAAGAATCCTTGTCGTGAAACCAATTCTTTACTGCACTGATTTGGAGAAGACAATCGCACCAAAAGTATTTCAAACTTAGTAATATAATATGAACTCTCTCTATGCATACAAACAGCAGATTTCATTAACTCAGCTTCTCTTTGTCTTTTCAGGTAAGATTTTTACAGGAGATGGGTATCCCTAATGAGGCCATTGGAAACATGTTAGTAAAGTTTCCTTCCTTACTAACAAACAGCCTTTACAAGAAAATCCGACCTGTGGTTAGTATTACTTCCTCTATGAACCAAAGATGTTCCATAGAATGTTATGTTAGTGTTACTTATAGCATAAGCTGATCCCAGAAACTGCATCTGATATTGTATAAGTTGTGGTCGTACAGGTGATTTTTCTCTTGACCAGAGCCGGAGTAACCCAAGAAAATATCGGTAAAGTTATCGCAATGGATCCAGCTCTCCTTGGATGTAGCATAGGGACAAAGCTAGAACCCAACATGAAATACTATATATCATTGGGAATCCGATTTCATCAACTAGGCGAAATGATTGCTGATTTCCCAATGCTACTTCGATATAATGTTGATAATCTGCGTCCAAAATACCGTTACTTGCGAAGAACAATGATTCGTCCACTTCAAGATCTCATTGAGTTCCCCAGGTAAACATCTAGAGACTTTACATGAAAGGATGTAGTGCCTGCAAGATGTAGCTTTTATGTATCCATGACGTTACATCATTACCTTTGAACAGATTCTTTAGCTACTCATTGGAGCGTCGGATAATCCCAAGGCACACCATTATGGTTCAAAACAGAGTTAACTTCAAGCTCAGGTACATGTTGGCTTGTACGGATGAAGAGTTTGAGAGAAGAGTGAAAGAGAAAGTGGAGAGAAGAGAGAGATTCGAAGCTGGTCTTGACTCTGAGGATTCTCAACCTTTGGATGAGAACATCTCTGATACTGAGTTTGCTTTGACAGACTCTGCTGAAGAGGATTTAACGTAATGAATAGTTTGTAACATGAAAGCTGTATATATAGCCATGTACATTTAACACAAATTATAAACGATAATTAGTCTTAATTTATAAATACTAAAATCAAAATATTCACTTCTTCGTCTCAGATAAAAATAAGTTAAGATGGACAGCAATAGTATTTGAAGCCCTTAATAGTGTTAAATTTACAGGTTCTTCGATTTGTGTACTGCAATTTGCATGTCACTCAGAGCAAATTTAATCAAGGAAAACTGTCACAAGCACAATCCAAATCCATGTCACTCGACTCCAATGCGACAAATTGCATTCCGCTTAATGAGATCAAGATCAACCTGCATAACAAATGACGATAAAACAATAAGAACATTGCTTCTCAAAGAAGCTGTAGTATATATAGAAAAGAGTAAGAGCTTGTACCTTGTGGCCAAATAAGTCTCGTATGTTGTCAATTTCATATAAAATCATTGTTGGTCTAAAAACAGAAGAAGAAGAGTCAGCCCTTTTGTTCGTAATCAAAACAAAATGTGTCCCTGATGTCAAATTTCATCTATTAATGTACCTTTCAAGAGAGACACCCCATGCAATGACTCTACAATCCTCTGGAAGACCCATCGGTAGCAACATTTCTGGTCTAAATATGCCAGAGTTGCCAACTTCTACCCATTTCCCTAATCCTTCGTGGTACCTGGAAACGACATCAGATACCTAATCTTTAGTGTCTGTCTGATTATTTTTCGAATTATAAGAAATGATGATTTGTTCCACTTTACCCAAAAATCTCCATGCTTGGTTCCGTGTAAGGGTTGTAGGCAGGCTTGAAACGCAGCTTGGACATCCCTGTAAAAGCATAAACGTATAAGCCTTTGTTTTCTCTTAAGCAACTTTGTAGCATAAATACGTGAAATCAGGAGAAGTGATAAAGCATTTACCTAAGCGTGAGAAGAAGTCATGTAATACACCAATGAGATCACCCAATGTAAGGCCACGGTCACAGATCAAACCTGAGGAAAAGAGGGAAATAATTGTTAGCAAATTTTGGTGTATTTTCATCATTCTAACTTTGAAATTCCACATATGCCAAAACAATTAGCTACTGCAATTACCTTCAATCTGATGGAACTCTGCCAGATGGGTTCGGTCAACAGCCTCATTTCTGAAGACACGGTCTATAGAAAAGTACTTCTTGGGAGTGAAAGGTTTCTACAGCAAAGGATAAAATAAATTACTACAGAAACAATGTTGCACAGCTTTTGAGATTTGGGAGGGCAAGTCATATCTAGTCAGACCTTTGCGAGTGCATAAAGCATCCTAGATGAGACCGCTGTTGTGTGGGTACGAAGGAGATTTTTGTTTGCTTCCTCTCTTTTCCAATCATACTTATACCTGCACAGCGGAATATACCACGATGAGAGATCACAAATTATTTGAGGTAGTAAGCATTAAAAACAAGTTAGTACCCTCTCGATCCATATCCACCAGACTCATGAACTTGTTTCACCCTCTCAACATAATCTTCTGGCAATTCCCTTGTAGTTGAAGGAGCTACAATCAAACATTCACATATTAAACTTAAGAGTTAAATCATTTGATATGCCATAACGTAGCTGGGAGGAACTGTCCCAAAGATAAACTCAGTGACTGAGCATTCAAACATTGAACCTTTGAACCTTTTAGAAAGAAGGTGTCATGAGAGTCAC